AGCACAGGTTGTTTTAGGGTAGGGGGTCTATAAGTAGATAGACTCTCCTGAGTTATTTTAGGGAAAGGGTCCGATAAATATCTGGACTTTCGGGCAGATACTGATGGATGACTTCATCAGGTCAAAAGGTCAGATTCCATCCAGGCTGAGACAAATAAGTCACACTTCATTAATGGCCTCCCAGCTCCGTTTTATAGAGCTCTCTTACCAATCCCGACTCTATTTTGATTTTCCTTTCACAAGTTCTAGAGCAGGATCCGCCATCAACCTGCTCAAGCAAGTCCCTCCATTCTGCTGCCCCAGTTTCACAGTGTCGCACTGTTACCCAGAAACTGGGTTTGCCTCTTGGTGGGTGTCGAGCCAAAAGACACAACCAAGTCAAAGACCAGGAGAAGGAAGGATTTATTACTTGCAGCAAGTAAAGTGAAATTTGGGGACCCTTCCCAAAGCAGTGTCTCCCCGGAACAGCAAAATTGGGGAAGTTTTAAGCTATGGGTATATGCATATTCGAGAAGGGGCTTGGGCAGTAGGCAGAGTCCAAGCTTTAATTGACTGAAGGCATGAAGGTCAGAAAAGGTCAACATCACCATCTCTTAGATTCCAGCTGATCTGGTGGTTGAGTGCCTGAGGGGGGATTTAAATTCTGAACAGCTCAAGAAAGTGCTTTAAGCTAGTCTTTGCAATTTAAATAGAACTGAGAGTCTTCACAACTGGTTTGTTATCTTTGCTATTGTTACTTTTGCCTTGATAAGTTTGTCCTTTATGTTCTCTTAAGATCATTATTACTGAGATCTATTCGAGGACAAGCACTGTGGCCAGGATTAGATCACAAAATGGTTTAGGCCAAAAATGGCTTCTCTTTTGTCAAGGAGGCCATGCCTGGTTCTCTTTCTCTGGGGACCCCCTACTCCATCTGCTTACAGCATGGATTCAGAGGTTCTCTGCACCTACTGTCTGGTTTTTTTGACATTGCCCACTTCAGTCAACACACTGGTGACAGGGGCCTTCCCCTCGCTGGCTCTGGGATGGAGACTCTCCAGGAGGCCCAGTTTAGTGAGCTATGGTACAAGCCTGCTCTGTTCTGCAAAGGACTGTAACACAAACCAGTCCAAATTCTAGAAAATTCGATTCCTAGCATCATGAGGGGTGTTAGAGCCCTGGAATGAATATTAGCAAACATTTCTCCCTTTAGCCCTATTAAAAAACAAAATTCAACTAAGTAAACTTGAAGATCTAATTGGTTTTTTATTCATTGAGTTATGAATCTGGCAGCGTCCCATCTAGCAACTAGAAAGGCACTCCAAGGGGTTGTGCAAAATGGAAGATTTTATAGGCAGAAGGAGGGTGGGGCAAGCAGGTATTAACAAAAGAATATGAATGGTTATTTTAAAGTCAGGACATCAACTTTTTTGGGTGGGGAACAGACAGGCAAGGGTTTATCATGCAGATTGCCTCGTCTTCTTCTGGGTGGGGTGGGAGTGGGGTAGAGATGGCCCACAAGACAGATTACCTTTCTGGTGCTTGACCAGAACATTCTAGACTGGTCTATTAAGATTACATTTCTGGGAAAGGTTGAAGCTGCGACTAGACCCGGTATTAAATCTAGGTTTGGTATTGGCCTCGGCCTGCAGCGGCTTGAAGCAAGATTTTGGTTCCCCAGCCAGAGATTGAAGTCAGGCCGCGGCAGTGAGAGCGCTGAATTCTAGCCACTAGACCACCAGGGACAGTGGCCAGTGACAAGGCCCTGGCCCGTTGGCTTTGTAGAAATGAATTTCCACAAAGCGGCAGACAGTACTGAAATAAGCAAAGTGTTTATTAGGAGGAAAAAGAGTACATGTGAATAGACTCACAGGGGCAGGCTCAGAGACAGAGTCGCACCCTCGTGGTAGTTTGAATCACTTTTATGGGGCATTTCGTCCAGGTTTCCTCTGGCCAATCATCTTGCTTTGCCCGGCTCTGTGTCCGTATTTGGTTTAACTCAGGGTCCTCCTCTGTGTGTGTGCACATCTCTTAGCCAAGTTGGATTCTAGTGAAGAGGCCTATACATAGGTTGACATCACCTACTATGGGGTGGTGCCCCTCCCTTTTTGACCTCTGAGGAGCCTTTCTGCACATGTGTAGTTGGGAAGGCCTCCTTGACCTAGAGAATGAGAAAAATGTGGTCTCTTTTTCTCTTATCTGGGCAGGGTTCAGCTCCTTTCTGCCCCTGCGATTACTGTTATCTTAAAGTGTCCACCGGAGGCAAAGTCCAGCTATTTACCCTGTTCCTGTTGTTGTTTCTATCTGGATGTGTAAACAGGAGGTTGGCTGAAAATGTCTAACCTGGAGCCCATCTATCTCCTGCCTCACACCTTTTGGCAATTGTGAATAATGCTGTTATGAACTTGGGTGTACAAATATCTCCTTGAGGGGCTTCCCTGGTGGCGCAGCAGTTGAGAGTCCGCCTGTCGATGCAGGGGACACGGGTTCGTGCCCCGGTCCGAGAAGATCCCACATGCTGTGGAGCAGCCGTGGCCACTGGGCCTGCGCATCCGGAGCCTGTGCTCCGCAATGGGAGAGGCCACAACAGTGAGAGGCCCGCGTATCGCAAAAAAAAAAAAAAAAAAAAAAAAATTCTCCTTGAGTCCCTGATTTCAATTCTTTTGGGTATTTACTCAGAAGTGGAATTGCCAAATCATATGGTAATTCTATATTTATTTATGAAAAGCTTTGTAGTGTTTTTTTAATTTTATTTATTTTTGGCCGTGTTGGGTCTTTGTTGCTGCACATGGGCTTTCTCTAGTTGTGGTGAGTGGGGGCTACTCTTCGTTGCGGTGCACAGGCTCTAGGCGCGGGCTTCAGTAGTTGCAGCATGTGGGCTCAGGAGTTGCGGCATGTGGGCTCAGTAGCTGTGGCTCGTGGGCTTAGTTGCTCCACAGCATGTGGGACCTTCCCGGACCAGGGATCGAACCCATGTCCCCTGCATTGGCAGGCAGATTCTTAACCACTGTACCACCAGGGAAGTCCTGGTAATTCTATATTTAATTTTTTTGAGGAACCGCCATGCTGTTTTCCATTCCAACCAATGGTGTGCAAGGGTTTCACTTTCTCAACATCCTCGTGAGCATTTGTTGTTTTCTGTTTTCTGATAGTAGTAATGGATGTGAAGTGGTACCTCATTGTAAGCAGCCAGTTTTAATAGTCAGCCCATTAGGTCAAGATGGAAGTTTTATTTCATCAGTAATAAAAACTCATATTCAAATCAGTTGTTATAGAGACCAGAAAAAGGAAGGTCCCAGATAATAGGTGTGCTATTTATCCATCGGAAAAACAAAAAATTAACAAGCAAATGATGAGAGGACACCCGTGGCTGGTCATTGTTTGTGTCCTGACAGTAACGTGCAGGAAGCACACCCAAGTCCGATGTAGGCACTGGGCAACAGTTCTGGTTGACACAGGCCACTGGCTGCCCTGGTTTCCTGCCACTGCTGCAGGATGTAGTTTGCTCACTTTTTAGCTTAGGGACACAACCTTTTTCCTTGGCACTCTTTGAAGGGTACCTTCACTGAACATCAGGTGGTGACCTTCTCTTTCCTAAGAGCTCATCCATCTATGGGCCTCTTCCCCTCAGTCAGAGATGCGGCCTCAGGTGTGTGTGGGGTGATAGTCTCTTGGGAGTGGGGCATGCCTCCCCTGCCCCAATTTTCCTTTCTCCCTGTCCCTGAAGATAGGAAGGTCTGTGTGTTTTTCATTTATCATCCTTGCTGGCTGAGCTCTGGGAAACCAGTGCAGATGGTCTGTGTAGCTGTGGGTCAGGAGAGCTCCTGAGGCAGAGGAGAATGCAGAGGCAGTGGGGGCGAAACTGCCCCTGCTTTCAGGAGATGCTGCTCTGGTGCACTGTTCAGGTCTGATGGGCAAAACAACCCAGGCAGATGGGGTGGCAGGGCTGGGCCTCTGGGTGGGGGAGGGGCAGAAGGGGTCAAAGTTGACCTTGGAGGAAAGTGTCTCTTGTCCTTCTTGTGCAGGGAGAGGGGCCTGGTCTTCCAGGGATGGTGACGGGGTAGCTGGGGGCAGGGCTGCTGGGGGAGCCTTGAGGGGTCCTAGGCATTCTAGGCAGATCAGTTGGTCTGTGGGGCATCCGTGAGGTGGCGGTGGTGAAGGGCATGCGGGGGAGGAACTGGGCGCATTAGGCTGCTTTTCTACAGTCTACTTTTCTCTCCTCTCAGGTTCCTGGGGGAGGCCAATGTCCCACTCCGGGAGGTCCTTGCCACCCCCAGTCTGTCTGCCAGCTTCAATGCCCCGCTGCTGGACACCAAGAAGCAGCCCACAGGGGTAAGTGTCCACCAGCCTCTGCATCTGGCTGGTTTCTGTCTGAGGCTTTGCCCTCCTGACCCCAGTGGGGTGTCAGAGTCCAGCCCCCAGCAACCAGGCCCGGCCCGCCCTGGCTGGAGCTCGGTGTGCCCGGGAGGGGCTCAGGGGTGGAAGGGATGGGAGGGGAAGAGGAGGGACCTGGCCCCATCTGCAGGGCTCCAGTCAGCCTTGCCTCACAGCAGCCTGCCCCTGGGTCACCTCCCGGGCTTGGTTTTTCACTGGAAACCCGATGTCTTCCCAAGCTTCTCGGCAGCCTTGGTTATGGCGCCTCCATCTGCCTTGTAGCCCTTCCTCACCATCCAAGCCCCTTCTCCAGATCCGGAATATCTGAGTCATCTGGGTCACAGATCACAAGGGAAGGGGAACAGACACCCCCCTCCCCTGCCCACCAGGACCTGTCAGACCCCCTTCCCTTCCTCCATAGTCCTTCCTGCTCCTCTGCCAGCCTTCCCAGTGCTCTCCCAGTCCTCCCAGACAATTCCCAGCCCTCATCTCTGGCCTCCCGTTATTTTTAGTGAGCTAAATATACCCTGCGGGGTTGTTTCTTCATGGTCAGTAGAATTCCTGACCTTCCCTCTGGGTCAGCCCCACCTCCCAGGATGCACTGCGGGGACTAACAGTCTGGAAGTACTTCCTCCCAGCGGGGCCCTGGGGAGTCTGTCAGACAGAGTGTGGCTACCTTGCCCGGTGGAGTGTCTGCATGTGCGTGTGTGCGCATGTGTGTGTGTGTGAGGTTGGGGGCTCTTGGCTGGCTTGGTGAGTCAGGAAGTGGCCGGTCTGGGCAGAGCTCTGAATGGAACCACTGCTGGGAACTGGGAGCTGGAGAAAGAGAGTGAATGACTGAAGTCACACAGTGAATTGCTGTCCAGCCTGGGACATGAATCAGGGGGCACATCTCCTAAGCTCTCAGTCGTGGAAGGGACTTGAATGGACCCCTGGTTCACTGCCCTTCTGATGCTGAGATTTTCTCCTAAGGTGCCTTAGGCCAGTGATGGCTGGGATGCTTCCTTGGTGGGGAAATGCCACTTCCCAGAGAATTCATCCTTTTCTCAGACAGTGCTCACTGGTAGAACATTCTGGTTCAGTGCAGGGTTCGCTGAGCCTGTCTCCATCACCTCTTGAGTTGCTTTTGTCCTCCCTTGGAGCCCTTCAGTCTGCTAATGCTTCCTGTAGTCAGGAAGGGCTCCGGGACTGCTGAGCTACTCTTCTAGGGATCCTGAAGTGGGCCAGAGCTGGCTCCTCTGAGACGGAGAGCACGGATGCAGGAGTGGCAGGCATCGAGGCAGCTGGGGAAAGAGGTATTTTGAGTCAGGGGATCTGCTCGGTGCTTCTCCACGGCGTCTCAGGGACAGCGCTGCCTACTTTGCTGAGGGTCGGGCCCCCAGTGCCTCCAACTGGGGTTTCTCGCTTCCTGGCTGGGCCACTCAGTCATCTCCTCGCTCTCACCCTCTCTGCATCTGCGACGCTGGTGTTTCCTGCCAGGCCTCCTGCACCTGCTCCCCTCCAAGCTCAAAGGCCCACCCAGCCCCTGAGACACCTGACCATGGGGCCGAGCCTGGCTGTGACTCCCTGGATGCCGCACCTCTCCTCTCTCGCTCTGTGTTCCCACGCTCTGTCTGCACTTCCCGTGCACCCGCTGGGAGCTGGCTGCCTTCTCCTCCCTGGGCTGGGACCCCTGGCTGTCTGCAGAGCTTGCCACTCTGTCACACACCATGTCTCCAGGAAGGGGCTGTGAGAGCCACAGGGTGATGGGTGGCAGCTGAGCACAGGCTCCGGGAGCTGGGGTAAATTAGGTTCCTGGACCCACCTCCAAGGTGTGTGTGGAGGCTTCTCCACACCAACCAGCAATACTCCAGACACCAGCTGGGTGGCTGCGATTCAACTCAATCCTGACACTATCTACCTGGCCATAGCATCAGATCCTACAGGTTAAACGCTCAGTCCTGCCCCCCACCCCCCTTCAGATACCAGTCGCAAGCCCAGGCTGTTACCTGTGCTTCTGACCAACTGGCTATAAATCAGAGGTTCCCAGAACCTCCTCCACAGTTTCAGTGAATTTGCTAGAGTGGCTCACAGAACTCAGAGAAACATTTTACTTACTAGATTACCAGTTTATTTTTTAAAATTTATTTATTTTTATTATTTTTGGCTGCGTTGGGTCTTCGTTGCTGCACGTGGGCTTTCTCTAGTTGCGGCGAGCGGGGGCTACTCTTGGTTGCAGTGTGCGGGCTTCTCATTGCGGTGGCCTCTCCTGTTGCAGAGCACGGGCTCTAGGCACGCAGGCTTCAGTAGTTGTGGCTCACGGGCTGTAGAGCGCGGGCTCAGTAGTTGTGGCGCATGGGCTTAGCTGCTCTGCGGCATGTGGGATCCTCCCGGACCAGGGCTCGAACCCGTGTCCCCTGCATTGGCAGGCGGATTCTTAAGCACTGTGCCACTGTACCAGTTTATTATAAAAGGGTATAACTCAGGAATAGCCAGACAGAAGAGACACACAGGCAAGGTATGGGGAAGAGGCACAGAGCTTCCATGCCCTCTCCGGGAGCACAGCTGTCTCCAGCTTCCACATGTTCTCCAGCACAGAAGCTCTCTGAAGCACAGCCTTTTGGGTTTTTATGGAGGCTTCGTGACTTAAGCCTGATTGATTAAATCGTTGACCATCAGTGACTGATTCAACCTCCAGCCCCTCTTCCATCCCTGGAGGCTGGGGGTGGGGCCGAAGTTACAGCCCTCTGTTCACACAGTTGGTCCTCCTGGCAACCAGCCCCATCCTTAGGTGGGGTCCAAAGGTCACTCCATTAACATAACAAGAGACCACCTTTGTCACTCTTGGCACTTAAGAAATTCCAAGAGTTTTGGAAGCCGTGAGCCAGGAAATGTGGACAAAGACGAAATATCTATGAAAAATATATTTTGCTCATCTCAGTGACCAAATATATATGTCTTACAAATCACAATATAGCATGGGACCTCATTCCCTGCAGCCCAGGAGGTAGCTCTGGCCTGTGGAGAGGGTCCAGGACCGTCTTCTAGCCCCTGTGATAGTGCTGAGTCACACTGCAGCCCCAGGCAGGTCCCAAGGCCCTCTGAACTGGGGCTCCCCACCCGGGGCCTGGGGCTGGTTGCACGGCAGTTGGGAGCATAGAGAGCTGGGGATTTGCTCAGAAGGGACCGAGAGCCCTGTCAGCGGCTGTGGATTCTCACTGGCCATTTACTGAGGCCGACTTCTGGGCTGAGTCCGATGGACAGAGCTTGCCAGGCATCCCCTGTTGGTTGTAGCTCGGATGACCTCAGAGGGCCAAAGGAACCTGCTGATGGTGTGAGGGGAGTGAAGTCAGGGCTTGTGGGATCCTTAGAAAACCCCAGAGGGACTGAGAGGAGAGGAGGGGCCTGCTGCAGGCTGGCCCGTGGGCTCCACCTGCCTGTCACTCGGTATTCTCACCCAAGTCCCTTCAGATGTGGCGTGCTGGGCTGTGTGCCATGAGAAGATGCCAAAATTATCTAGATGCCTCTAGCCTGAAGGGGAAAACACTACCCCCGTCCTGGGGGAGTCTCCAGGCCCACGAGGGTGCTGGACACACATGGAGGAAAGAGGCAACATACTCACAAATGTAGTTTGAGAGCAGCTTGATAATGAGGGTGTGGCTGATACACCACGGAAACCACGTCGGAATCTCCTCAGCCTTAAATGCCAGAGTTGGGTCAGGAAGGGAAACCCGCTGGGTGACAAAACACGTGAAACCCACTGGCAGGGTGGGTCGGGGAGGCAGGAGGGTCCTGTGTATTGGGAGCAGGCACCGAGGTGAGCAGACACAGTGCTCTGGTGAATCCCTGAGTTTCCTTCAGGTGGTCTGAAGATGCTGCCGACAACCCCTGTCTCAGCTCAGGGCCACATCTTACCCTCTGCCAGCTGCTGGGTGTCACCTGAGGGCAAGATAAATAAGACCCAGGCACATGAAGTGCGTTGGGGGCAATGTGGGTGGGCTGGTCCAGGGTTTGGTCCTGCTAAGCTCAGTGTTGGAGTGCGGTGGCCCAGGAAGGAGGCAGCAAGCAACGGGGCTGAGCATGGCAGGGTGGGTGAAGGACCTGGGAGCTTGGCCCTATAACCTGTAGGAGGATCTGATGGGGTTGTCCTCTGTCTCTGCCTGTCCTGGTGTCCTGGTTTCCTGGGCCCTCTTAGCCTGGGGGCCACACAGGACCTTGCAGAATTCTGTGATACTGTTGACAGAACGGCAACATGGGTGACTGAGGTTATCTGCTTCAGGGCAGCGTGCTTTGATGGACACATGACTGACTGGCAGTGGCCTTGTGATAGGATGTATGTGTGGTGGTGCTGGGGCTGAGGACCTGAGGGACAGGGCTGTCGGATGGAGCACCTTGATGTGGAGGGCCTTAAAGAGGGTCCTACTGAGGGCTGTGGGCCAAAGTCATGGTCTAGGACAACATGGAGCTCACATACATCCCACGGAAAGAAAATCTCAGCTCTGGTTATGTCTGGAGAAAGGGACACGCTATGAGATATGATGTCCCAGTAAGGATGGGAGTGGTCCTGACCCTGAGTGGGGCCCACAGACATGCCCGCTTTCCTTTAGATCTCAGTAGAGCTAGAGGCCTCCAGTATTAACCAGCTCTGGTCCTGAAGCAGTGGACCCTGGAGCCTGCCCCCTGCTGGTGAGATCTATTCTAGATCCTGGGTTTCAGATCCTCAGAAGCTGCCAGGGATGTTCCTGTTGTTTCTTGATGGCCATGTAAAAGGTGGAGCTGGCTCTGTCTTGGAGGTCTGTTCACAGGCCTGGAGCCACTGGCATGTTGCCAAGCCTTCAGGAGGTTGGTGGTAGGGGGCTCTCAGTGTGGAGGGACCTGATGCTCAGGAAACTCCGGGGGTGGGGTGGGGTGGGGTGGGGGCAGGGGTTACCTGGGTGGTCTTGGGATTCAGGGGATGCTGTTCCTTCCTGAGCCTCCACGCTAATGGCACCCAAGCCACGGCATGGAGCAGTTACACTCCCAGGGCTCCACTTCTGCACAGAGCACAGAGATGATGTACTGGAAGCCCCAGGTGGTGAGGGACGGGGGCTGGACAAGGTGAGCCCCAAGAAACAGGAAGTGGTGCTCTTCAAAGGAATCTGGTCCCAGGGTCAGAGGACCTCAGCCACCAAGTGTTACGGGGCTTTATTTGTCTCTGCTGGGTGAGATTCCTGTGGTTGCTAGGTTTCTCCACCAATCACGAATCCATTCCCTTTTCTAATGAGTAAGAATGGGCGGGGGGAGAGGTATTTTGTGACTCTGTAAATACTTTGCTCCATATCCAATTTTTACCCAGCAGATTTGACACCCATTGTTATTTCTTGGTTGGAGATCGTTTTGATGGTTGCTAAATGGTAATATCTTAAATCAATTATTAATTTTTTTGCATTAATGATCTGGCATTCCACTGTAAGGAAAAGTGTCCTCCTGTTGTATTTATTCATTTATTTCTGTATGGATTCACGTATTCCTATTTTATTCAATGGTTTAGTCTGTTCCCGTCATTATTTATTGTCATGTTCAAGTTGTACCAGATTTGGCCTGTGGGAACCCTTGAAAGCAGGCTTCTTTGTCCTTTTGACATTTTTTTTTTTTTTAATGATTTTCTGAGTACTTCCTTCTTTTCTGGCACAAAAAGGTGTTCCAGGGTCATCTTCTACCTTCCCTGGCCTAACCCTGGAATTAGTTACTGCTCGGAAGAGCCCAAATTGCCTTTTGATGAAGTGAAGGAAAATACAGCTTCCCAGGCCCACCTCCGACCTGGAGTCTCAGGGAGATGGGCGTGGTTGTGAGCGGGTCTGGGTATCTGGGGCCGCCTTCTCGAGAGGCTGTTGCCCGTGTTACTAGAGCTTAGGGTGCGGGGCGCGCTGGCTGCTCAAGTGGCGACACCTGGCGGTGGTTCAGGAACCTGCATTGCTGTTAGGACGATGCCTTGGATCTGGGACTTAAATGGTCTCATTGACTTCCCGGGCCTCCTCCTAGGTCTCCTGGGATGGGGAGCTGGCTCCAGCCTCCTTCGTCGGTGTTCTGAACACCCGCCCATTACACACACACACACACACACACACACACACACACATACCCGCCCTGCCCCTGCCCTCCCTTAGCCCGGCTGCCCACGCCCAGGCTCCAACCTGAAGGGTTCAAGCTGCAGAGCTGGGTACATTCAGGACCTTGAGCTCCTTCCATCTCAGGACCAGGAATCGCTCCAGGAGTTTCCGGACATCCCTAATATTACTCAGCAGAGATAGATGTCTAGTGAATTATGCTGAGTTGCTCAGAAGTCGCTCAGAAGTCATGAGTCGCTGTGTCATTAACAGTTATGTTTATAAAGGGTTTATCAAAATTTGGGGAAATGCTTACTATCTAATATTAAGTAAAAGACAAGCATTTGCTGTACAGCAGAGCTGTACATTATTTATTTAAGAAGACTGGAGAGAATTATATCAAAGTGTGAATAGTGGTGGAATTATGGCAATTTCTTTTTTTTTACATTTTTCTTTAAGGCTTTTGTAATTTCCAAACTTTCTTACTTCGGAGTTTTTATTACTTTGATCGATTAAAAGGCTGCCCCAGGACATCTCCTGGACCTGTTGTATCAGGGAAGGCTCGGCCAGGCCTCCATGGCCTGGGAGCAGTAAGAGTAGAGAGCGCCATGGCTGTACCTTTTCTTCAGGTCCGGCTGCCCCTTTGAACGGTGCCGGTCTCCTGGTAGGCTCGGGTGGGGTGGGAGCACACGGCAGCCTTCCCCTGTCCACGTGAGTGGCGTGATGGGTCACTCTCCTCTCACCGGTCAAAGCTGGAGCATCTGGGGGTGAGATGGGGGACAGGGGTGCTTCTGGGAGGGAAGAGGGCTCAGAAAGTTGAGCAGCACCCTGAGACCCTCTCAGTGCTAGCTGGGGCCTGAGCAGAGCAAGGCCGAGCTGTTGGTAGAGAGACAAGGGAGGACCCTTGGCTGAGCAGAGTGGCCAAGGGGGCTTTTTCCGGAAGATGGGCCTATGCTGAGAGTTGAAAAATCCTGCAGGTGAGGTTCGATCGCTGATTCATTTATAGAAGCTTACTAGGCATTCTATTAACTAATTTAATCCTCATTTGACCCTATGCAGAAAGTGCTCTTGCTATCACTACCCCCATCTTACAGACAAGGAAACGGAGGCACAGAGAGTTTACAGATCTTGCCAAAGTCACACAGCTTCTGAGTGGTGGAATTGACTCCAGATTCAATGCTCTTAACCACCTGACTATGCTGATGGGGCCACAGACTCCATTTTTGGTAGAGGGACGAAAGGAATAGGAAGGATGCTGGAGGGCGGTGGTCAGAGGCCCACACACTAACCTGCTGCCCTCTCTCCCCCATCTCCTCCAGGCCTCGCTGGTCCTGCAGGTGTCCTACACGCCTCTCCCTGGAACCACGCCCACGTTCCCACCTTCGACGCCTCTGGAACCCTCCCCGACTCTGCCTGACATGGATATGGTGGCTGGTGAGAAACCCACCCTCACCCTGGAAGGGCCCCGGGGGGAGAAGCCTAGCAGTGGCACCCGAGTCTGAGAAGGGGGTGCCTTTCTCATATTGGGGGCTGCCCAGGCCTGGAGAAGGGAGGCCATGGGTGGGTGGGGAGTCTTGAGAGCTGACTTCTGTCTTGCAAAACCAAGGGGCAGGAGGAGGGCTCCCCTAGGTGCCGCTAGGATTAGTGTGAGGATCCCTTCCCAGCACCAGCTGTTCAGGAAGGGGACTGTGCCAGGGCTGGGCACACTGCCCTCTGCAGCTCCAGAGGGGTGAGAGTTTTAGAGGTAGGCCTGTGCTGAGATGGGGTCCATCCTAGGTGATGCCTGAGGCCCCACCCACTCCCCAGAGCTGGATGCCTCCCTGCCCTGGCACTCCGTAGGCCTTTAGCAATGACACGTGACCAAAGAGCTGGATTTTCCCTGAAAGAGCCCTGGGCTGAAGTCAGGGGACCTGAGTTCCAGTCTTGCCTTTGACACCAAGTAGCTGTGTGACTTTGGGCCAGTCACTCCCTCTCTGGTCCTACAGTTTATTATTTGTGAAGTGAGAAGACTGAATTGTCTAAGTCTCAAGGTTGCCTCAGTTCTCTTTATTTACCTCTCCTGGCCTTGTGAAGTGAGAACCCAGCCCAGGGTGGCTGGCTTGCCCAGTGCTGGGCCTGGGCGTGACAGTCCAGCCTGCTGGGGTGAATCGGAAGCCACATAGGTGGGCCAGGTGGGGTCTTGCCCGTGGGGAAGATTCTTTCATGGTGAAGGGAGCTAGAAGCAAACCCAGCATGACACCCGGCAGCCTGTCCCAGGTGTGCCCCGAGCCTGTCCTGCGGCCCGTGTAGGGCTCCTGGTGAGGCAGGCAGGGCAGGGCCCCTCTTGTTGGACTGGGCACTGTCTGAACTTTGAGGTGGGGAGATCCTTCTGGACTGGGGTTGAGGGGGGAAGCAGGGGGTGCTCCTGGTGACCGAGGGTGGGGAGGCTGAGGGCCCTGAACGTTCTGGGGCCACTTTTGAGGTGAATCTGACAGAGTTGGGCTCCAGCCACTCGGGGAAGGCTCCTAGCGGTGGCCAGTTCCCAGTCCTTCCCGGAAGGTGGTGAGAGGGACAGTTGGACAGATATGGCGCCTGTTTCAGAGCTTTGTGGCAGGCCAGGGCAGGCGGGGAGAGCAGGGTTGGGGGGGCGGCTAGCTTGGCTTCCCTCACCAGCTCCCTCCTCCCCTTCTGGGGCTGTGCCCTGCCCGTGTGCCAGGTGGGGGACAGAGCCGGGCTGAGACTTGGTCCCTGCTCAGTGACAGCACCGTGGACACAAGATACTCTGGAAAGAAGTGGCTGGCCCCCACGGGTGAGACGCGGGCCGGGCTGTCCCGATCCTACCACCTGTAACCGGCTCGCTTGCTGCCATCGTCAGCTCCCCAGAGTGGGACAAGGTGGCCAGAAGGGCTCATCCCGCAGGACGAGGTGGGGAGGGCTGGGGCCATTCTGTCTCCTCCTGTCGACTCACTGGACTGACCACCCTCAAGTGTCAGCTGTTGGAAGCTCCTCTTCTTCTCCCTCATCCATCCTGGCTGAGTGGTGGGGAAAGAGAGGGGAAGGGGATTTGGGTGCTGAGCTGTTGGGTCCTCCATCGGGGTCCCTGATGATGGAGGATCCTCCCAGGGGCCGGAGGAACCCAACCTCATCAGGACCCTCTCCTCCAGACACAGGAGGAGAGGAGGATACTGAGGACCAGGGGCTCACGGGAGACGAGGCCGAGCCATTCCTGGACCAGAGCGGGGCTCCGGGCCCAGGGGCCCCCATCACCCCAAAGAAGCCACCTTCCCATCCTCCCCCCTACCACCCCGGGGCAAGAAGGAAGAGAAGCACGCCCGCACCCAGAAAGCCGCTGTCGGACAAATCGCAGGACTTCCAGGTGACTGCAGTCTCCTCCTTCAGCCCGCAGCAGCCGTTGATGCCAGCGTAAAACTTGTCTGTCCAGCCGTGGGGAAGGTCCTAAGGGCTCTCCTAGGTGGGAGTCTGGTTCCCCTGGGTCCTGGGCAAATGCTAGATAGGGAGGCCATGGCTTGGGGCCTCTAGAAAAAGCCTCTGCCCAGCCCATGGTTTTGCTCTTTAAAAAAAAAAAAAAGGAAGAAAAAGGGTCACTGCAGAGTCAGCATCACTACACTGTTATCTGTTTCCCCAGCCAGAGTTGCCCTAGCCAGCCGGTGCTGTGCTGTTCAAAGTGTGGTCCGTGGACGAGCAGCATGGGTGTCACCTGGAAGCATGTTAGAAAGGCGGGATCTTGGGCCTATCCCAGACCCACTGAATCAGAATCTGCACTTGAACAAGATCCCCAAGTCTGAGAAGCTCTGCCTATCTTTTTGCCTCCCTCTATCCATTTCCCCTATTTATAGCCATGATTTTTCTGAAGGTCATGTGCAATTTGAGTTTGTTCAAGTTTTTCACAGAATAGAACTATGAATATTAACCCTTTGACATTTTTTTATCCAAAAATCTATCCCATTTAATTTGCCTTTTTTCTTTTTAAATTTTTATTTATTTATTTTTTGACTGCACCATGTGGCATGTGGGATCTTAGTTCCCCAACCAGGGGTCGAACCCAGGTTCCTTGCAGTGGAAGTGCAGAGTCTTAACCACTGGACCCCCAGGGAAGTCCCTAATTTGCCTTTTAATTTGGGTCCTTTGCTTGTTCTTTTTCTTTTCTACAGAATTTTCCATTTTGATGTAATTGCATTTAGTGATATTTAACTATTCAGGACTACTATTAAAGTTAAAACCAGGAAACTTAAATATTTATTTAGTAAATGAAACAAATTGTAAAAATATGCTTCAGTTCTAAATTGTGGTAATTTCAGCAAAAGTTCTAGTTATAACCACTAGGTTTGCCTGAGAGACAAAATTCTAACTTATTTTTATTATTATTCACAAGACATGTTATTGTTTTTCTCCTTAGAAAATTAATACATTTTTTTGGGTAGAAAATTTGGAAAATACTGTACAGTGAAGAGAATGAAAATCACTCACCCCCTTCCCATTGCCATTGATAGTATATTCTGTAGTATCTTATTTTTCAAAAAGAGTCGATTAATAAAGAAATAACTGCTGATTCGAAATTAGAACCAGTAAACATCGTATTTTTTCATGAAAGTTTTAATACTTTAAAATGTATTATTTTTTAATATTTTGCTTAAATTTGGAAGCACAGATGTTCTTGAAACCTTCATTTACTGAAAGTTCAATCAAGAAAGCTCTTATTTCTCAGAATGTCAGACATTCTGTCTTGCACCTTATACTACATAAGAATAAAGTGGGGTTACATCACTATGTAACTTTGACCTCTGAGGGGATTGTCAGTGAGGAATATTCAAGCCACACAGAAACATCGGCTTCAAGGGGTCTGAGGTGGGGCCGCGCATGAACTGAACGGGGGTGGGATCCTCAGCCCAGCCCTGGGATTTACCGTTGGCAGCTTACCTGGGGGAGCCTGGCAGCTCTTATGTGGAACCATGGGATTTTATAGATGCAAGGGACCTTGGTGGGAAGATACTGTTCTTACAGTGCTCTTCCTAATGCCTTTTTTTTTTTTTTTTGTGGTACGCGGGCCTCTCACTGTTGTGGCCTCTCCCGCTGCGGAGCACAGGCTCCGGACGCGCAGCCTCAGCGGCCATGGCTCACGGGCCCAGCCGCCCCGCGGCACGTGGGATCCTCCCGGACCGGGGCACGAACCCGCGTCCCCTGCATCGGCAGGCGGACTCTCAACCACTGCGCCACCAGGGAAGCCCCCTAATGCCTTTTTAATACCCATCCCAAGAGGCCAGCTGTGAGGGTGGTCCCTGAGATTCCTGACTCTCTCGGGCAGGGGGTGGGTGCCTGATGACTTCTCCCTTTTCTTCCTCATGCCCCCTCCTGGCTTTCAGATCAGGGTCCAGGTGATCGAGGGACGCCAGCTGCCGGGAGTGAACATCAAGCCTGTGGTCAAGGTCACCGCAGCTGGGCAGACCAAGCGGACGCGGATCCACAAGGGAAATAGCCCCCTCTTCAACGAGGTGGGAGACCCTGGGTCAGAGCTAGGACCTTGGTGGGAGCACACGGCAGATGCCTGGCAGTTCATTCAGTTTTTGCATACGGTGCTAGCGTTGGGTGGAGAGCTGTGTCAGTTCCTGAGTAGGTTATCTGAGGAACTGGAGAGAGGGTTCCCGCTCTTACTCCTGCCTTGGGTTCCCCCTGCTTCACATCCCCATCATCCCGTTGGGCCGGCCACCCACCCTGTCCCTGAGGTGACAACCTCCGTGAGGTCGAATCCCCAGAGCTCGGTGCTGGGCTGAGCCCACTGCCCACTTCTTGTGTGGACCAGACCTGGAGGCTGGGCGGTGGCTGTCCCCTCCTGCCCGGGCTCGGCAGGCCTTCATCTGTCCCCCTTTCACCCTGAATCAACAGACTCTTTTCTTCAATGTGTTTGACTCTCCCGCGGAGCTGTTCGACGAACCCATCTTTATCACGGTACGTGGCAGCCCCCGAAGGCCCTCTGTGGGCTCAGCGTGCATGTGTGAGTATGTGTGAGTATGTGTGAGTGTGTGTGGGTGAGGCACCCAACCCCCAACCGAGCCTGGATGATGGGGAGCAGCTCACAGCCTCGCCCCCGCGCTCACAGGGTTGCCTTCTGAGCTCGGATGCAAGCGGCAGCCGAGTGCGGAGTCCCCGCTGTTCAGGGTCAGGTGCCTTAGGCCAGGGTCCTGAACTAATTCTTGCAGTGGATCTTTGATTTTCATCTTATTTTGTTTGTCTGTATGCCTGCTTCTGACAAGATTTTCTTTCTCTGGACCTCAGCTCTTTTTTTCCCCCTTTCCTTTGAAAGGCAGTATAGTTTAGCAGTTAAAAGTGTGGGCTCTGGAGCCAAACTGGATTCTAGTCCTGCCTATACCGTGTAGGGGTTGTGTGATTCTGTACAAATGATCTCTCTGTGCCTCTATTTCTTCATCTGTAGAATGGGGATAATAATAGTACCTACTCATGGGGTTCTTGTGAGGGTTAAACATTGCTTGGAACAATCTCTGGGATAGAGCAAGTGCTATTGGAGTGTGGGCTGTTATTTTTTGGGAGGGAAGAGCCGTTCGGTTGGTTCCTGTCTGGGTCAACCTCTGCTAGTGAATGAGAGCTTGAATTTGTCTTTCCTTCCAGGTGGTGGACTCCTGTTCCCTCCGGACAGATGCTCTCATTGGGGAGTTCCGGGTAATGGTTTATTTTCTTTGAAAGCCATCAGTTCTTGTTTATCCATGTTAATGGAAGCTCTGTGGATGATGGGCAGGGTTGGTGCTCCAGAGATCCTGTCTGTCTTGGTCTGTGTTGGGGAAAATGTAATGAAAAAAACAAAACAAGATCTTCTCCTAACCCAGAAATCCTCTCCATAAAGGTAGTAGAGAAAGAAAGCACTTTTGTTACTGAATAAGCATTAAACCAGAATATGATGCTATCACGGGCCATCCGCTAAGAGACTGCAAAGACAGAAAGTAATCTTTTTTTTTTTTGCGGTATGCGGGCCTCTCACTGTTGTGGCCTCTCCCGTTGCGGAGCACAGGCTCCGGACGCGCAGGCTCAGCGGCCATGGCTCATGGGCCCGGCCGCTCCGCGGCATGTGGGATCTTCCCAGACCGGGGCACGAACCCGCGTCCCCTGCATCGGCAGGTGGACTCTTAACCACTGCGCCACCAGGGAAGCCGCAGAAAGTAATCTTGTATAGAGCCAAGCAGACACAACCCTTTCCATATATGTTCTCAAGATAAACAATAACTAAACAATAACTAGTGCTCGAGTTAGCGGCCTGGATAGTACCCTCAGTCACACATAGTTCATCCTAAATTTACCTAGTTATTGGGGTGACCATCTGTGTTTGCTAATTGACTTTATCCACAAGAAAAGACAGAAAGCAAGCTCACATTTTTATGATGGGGGGTAGATTTACAACTTGGTTAAGGTAGGCCCTTCCCTTTCCCAGAGATGGGAGAGCCTGGAGAAAGGCACTCCTGGATCATAAAGCTGACGAAAGGCTTATTTGGTTTCTAAAAAGGTAACATTTCAAAGAGATAGAGAAAGTACTTACATTAAGTTTTCTAATGAAAATGTTCTGACAAAAAGAGAGGAGAGGGAAATCTCTCCCCTTGTTTCCAACAGGGAGGATTCAGCTTCTTTTTTAAATTCGCATTTGTCCTTACATCTTGGAAAGACAGCGTGGGACCTGAGTTTAGGCAGCCCTCCTCCTAATTCTGACAATCTCGGGCCAGCGTGACGCCAGTGCTCTGTGCCCTGGGCTCACCTGGGTTGGGAGTGGGGTCCAGATGCGGAGTCCATGGGGATGGGGTGGAGCGGGGTGGGGCGCAGTGGGGGGAGCGGGGGAGCCTGCCCCCTCATTTGTCCCAGACGCGCAGGAGTGAACAGTCCACTGCAGAGGACCTTGAACCAACAGCGTAGGACGGTTTTAACAGATTACATAGTGTAAAGGCAACTAGTAATGGAGGCCTTCACCAATGCTGTTTTAGTGTCATTTTATTGATTTTCTCATTTTGAACCCATAAGCATTTATCACATGGAAAGAAAAGGCATAGATTTATTTGACCCTCCTCTTGCTATCCAAATAAAATGCGGCCCCTTCTCCAAGAAGTAGTCACAAGGTAGAAAACGGAGTCTTTTTCTGGAGAAGCAGTTTCTTTAAAAGAATGGGCTTGTGCTGGGCTCATTCTGTAACACTTACGTTACAGGATCTTATGTTTTGAGTCTCTAATCTTGTTATAGGAACCCAAGGGTTAGGTTAAAAAAGTATTCTTTTTTCTAATTATAAAAGTAATCCATGATTTAAAAAAACTTTGTAGTTTTTTTTTTTTTTTTTGTACGCGGGCCTCTCACTGTTGTGGCCTCTCCCGTTGCGGAGCGCAGGCTCCGGATGCGCAGGCTCAGCGGCCATGGCTCACGGGCCCAGCCGCTCCGCGGCAAGTGGGATCTTCCCGGACCGGGGCACGAACCCGTGTCCCCTGCATCGGCAGGCGGACTCTCAACCACTGCGCCACCAGGGAAGCCCATAAACTTTGTAGTTTTTGAGAGCAATTTTAGGTTCATAGCAAGACTGAGTGGAAAGTACAGTTCCCACATAACCCCTCCCCTAACACATGCATAACCTCTCCTGCCATCAACATCTGTGATTTTTTAAATGGAAAATTATAAAATATAGGAAAGAATAAAAATAAAATAAAAATCACCCAAATCTACCACCCAGAGGTAGTACAGTTACCGTTCGGTGTGTTTCCTTTGCTCTGTCTTTTCTATGCGTAGATATACTTTACCAAACTTCGATCAAAATGTATTCCACTTTCTTTCCATGTGATATCAGAAGATGAACATTTCCCCATGTCTCCAAATGTTCTTCAGAACATGATTTTTAATGGGTTGGTATCATGCATCATACTTTATTTAACACTCTGGGGACAAGAGTGTGACGTGTGCCTCCTTCTGTTTGATTTCAGATGGACGTGGGCAGCATCTACCGAGAGCCCCGTGAGTCACCCTCTCCTCCCCTTGGGCAGGTCCTTGCATTTGGGCTCTGGAGGCTGCATGGGGGCATCCATTTGGGATACTCATCTTTCCTTCTAGGAGATTTTAGAATCTAGAGGTGGGGTTTGATCTTGGAGGTGAGGCTGCAGGAATGAAGAGACGACAGGCTTTTATCTTCTGGGTAAAACAGGCCCCCAGGAAGATTGAACCCTCACGTGGGTCTCAGCTGGCCCAGCTGGAGGGCTAAACCTGGAAGGCCCAAGCAAGGGTTGCTGGGGACTGGGGTGCCTCCAGACAGGACGGGTCATTTGGATGCCAAGTCTAGGATTTCTCTACACCCTGGTCTCTGCTGTGGTCTGGTCACTTCCTGAAGGGGAGGAAAGTGGCTGGGGGTCTGGCTTTGGCAGCCTCTGATAGGGGTTTCTGTTAACATTTCTGACTTGGACCCAAATGAACACTCAAGGTACATTTTATTCTAGAATTTGAGTCCTTCCCCCATGTCTGGGTAGATGAGTCCTTCATCTCATCCAATGGAGTACACCCGGGGCTCCCAAAGGTGGTTGCAGACTTGTGTCTTTCCAATTCTGGGATCGCCAAGGGTGTTGTCTCTCTTAGGACATGCTTATCTCAGGAAATGGCTGCTGCTTTCGGACCTGGATGATTTCTCTGCTGGAGCCAGAGGCTACCTGAAAGTGAGCCTTTGTGTGCTGGGGCCTGGAGACGAAGCCCCCGTGAGTACATTTCCTCGTCCCCCTCGCAGCACCTCCGCCTGGCCTTGGAGGCACCAAATGAAGAAACAAAAAAACAACTTTAGTTTTTCTGATTTAAAAGAATACATGGCAATTATGAGAAATGTAGAACATGTGGAAAAGCATAAATAAAAATTGAATCACTCATAATTCTACCCATCAGAGAGAACCGTCATTAATACCTTCTCGCATATTCTCCCAGAAGGGTATACATGTATATTTTTCTCTTTTTTTTGGGTGCAAAAGTGAGATCACTCACTCTGTAATGTATTGTAGTCTGAATTTTATCACCTAAGAATATATCATTGTCATCTTTATGGTCAGTAAGTAAAGTTATAAGTTGGAGGTGGTAAGAATGAGAAAGGCTTTCAGAGTTGGGGAAGTATCAGCATCTCTGTATGTCTGGGGAGAGGAGAGAAGGTTTGGAACAGTTGTTGAGGAACAAGGGGTTAATTAGATACAGACAGAAGGATTTCTTATTTTATTTTATTTTATTTATTTTTTGTTTTTTTGTTTTTGTTTTTTTGCGGTACGCGGGCCTCTCACTGTTGTGGCCTCTCCCGTTGCGGAGCACAGGCTCCGGACGCGCAGGCTCAGCGGCCATGGCTCACGGACCCAGCCGCTCCGCGGCATGTGAGAACTTCCCGGACCGGGGCACGAACCCATGTCCCCTGCATCAGCAGGCGGACTCTCAACCACTGCGCCACCAGGGAAGCCCTCTTTTTTTATTTAAAAAAATTAAAAAAATTTTTTTAATTTATGTATTCATTTATATTTGTAACTGTAAGTTTGTTTTCTGTGTCTGTGAGTCTATTTCTGTTTTGTAAATGAGTTCATTTGTATCATTTTCTTTTATATTCCACATATAAGCCGTATCACATGACATTCATCTCCTTTGGTCTGACTTACTTCACTTAGTGTGATAATCTCTGGGTCCATCCATGTTGCTGCAAATGGCATTATTTCATTCTTTTTTGATGGTTGAGTAATATTCCGTTGTGTGTGTGTGTGTGTGTGTGTGTGTGTGTGTGTATGCATGCACACACACCACAAGACAGAAGGATTTCTGAGCAGACACAAGGGCAGACACTCTGGGCTGGAGGCTTTATGGGAGAGTGACCTCATAATACTCAGTGGCCTGGAAGCAGGAGAGGGGTAAGATGGAGGTGCTGTCAGGTGTGGACAAGGCAGGTGTGGTGGAGGCACAGGACTGAGGTAGCTGATGGGCCTGGCAGGGCGGATGCAAGAGGACTGGGGATAGAGCTCATGAGGAGGAAAAAGAAGAGGGAAGGGCTAGGGAACACACATTTATTGAGTGCCTGCTGTGTGCCAAGCTCTGTGTTGGGTGCCTCACTTGGTGTGAGGGGGGTTGGAGGAGGTGGATAGGTTGAAGTCTGTCTTTAGAGAAGGGTCTCAAGGTCAAGGTCTTCCTAGAGGATTGGTTCTCAGTGGCTGGAGGTTTGAGATATGGCCATCCCTCTAGCAGCTGCAGGGGAGGGGGATTAAGATGCTGCTGGTTGGGGCTTCCTTGGTGGCGCAGTGGTTGAGGGTCCGCCTGCCGATGCAGGGGACACGGGTTTGAGCCCCGGTCCGGGAAGATCCCACATGCCACGGAGCGGCTGGGCCCGTGAGCCATGGCTGCTGAGCCTGCGCGTCCGGAGCCTGTGCTCCGCAACGGTAGAGACCACGACAGTGAGAGGCCCGTGTACCGCAAAGAAAAAAAAAAAAAAAAAAAAGATGCTGCTGGTGGAGGACAAGGGACTGTGTTGGTGAATGACTTGTCCACGTGGATATTGATTTATCTCATGGGAGAATCGGAAATCAAACACGCAAATGTTGAGTGAGATACTGAGATCATCAAGGCAGGGTGAGCCAGGAGGAGTGGGAGAGGCAGGAGTGGGGAAGGCGGGTCTCCAGGAGGGCTGGGGAGGTGGAATCCCCAGGGAAAGCCACGTGTGATCATGGAGGCGGAGGGCAAGTTCCATGAGGCTCTTAAGGACGAGAGCTCTGGCTGCTGACGAGAGCTCAAGAAGCCGCTGTGCAAAGGGTTAGGGGAAGGGGAACCCCGGGTGCTGTGCAGAGGCCAATGGAGCTCAGGTGGACCAGCCCCACCCAAGGGCACCTCCCCTGATCTCTCATCCTGTGTCCCTCTGTAGCCCAGGCAGACATTGTGCTTCCCTGCTCCTTTTCCTTCTACGTGGACCCTCTGAATCTATTACCCTTTCCTAAGACACTCTTTCCTCTTCTTCCCATTGATCAGACCCTTGTTTTTCCCAGATGAAACCACTTTTCTTGAGACCAACTCAGAGGGAAGCCCCTGTCCTCTGCTTCAGCTCTTTGTGGCTTTCAGGATGGGAGGAGTGGCCATCTTTTGGTTTCCCACAGTAGCTTCTCAACTTCAGCATTGCCTTCTTCTTCTTTTTAAAATTAATTTTATTGGAGTATAGTTGATTTACAATGTTGTGTTAGTTCCTGCTGTGCAGCAAAGTGAATCACTTATACATATACCTATATCCACTCTTTTTTAGATTCTGTTCCCACATAGGTCATTACAGAGTACTGAGTAGAGTTCCCTGTGCTATACAGTGGGTTCTTATTAGTTATCTATGTTATATGTAGCAGTGTGTATATGTCAAACCCAATCTCCCAATTTATACACCCCCCCCTTGGTAACCTAAGTTTGTTTTCTACAACTGTGACTCTATTTCTGTTTTGTAAATAGGTTCATTTGTACCATTTTTAAAGATTTCACATATAAGCGATATCATATATTTGTCCTTCTCTGTCTGACTTACTTCACTCAGTATAACAATCTCTAAGTCCATCCATGTTGCTGCAGATGGCATTATTTCGTTCTTTTTTATGGCTGAGTAATATTCCATTGTATATATGTACCACATCTTCTTTATCCATTCCTCTGTTGATGGACACTTAGGTCCTGGCTATTGTAAATAGTGCTGCCATGAACAATGGGGTGCATGTATCCTTTCGAATTATGGGTTTCTCTGGATATATGCCCAGGAGTGGGACTGCTGGATCATATGGTAGCTCTGTTTGTAGTTTTTTAAGAAACCTCCATACTGTTCTCCATAGTGGCTGCACCAATGTACATTCCCACCAGCAGTAGAGGAGGGTTCCCTTTTCTCCACACCCTCTCTGGCATTTATCGCTTGTAGATTGCCTTCTTCTCTGAAGCCTGCCTCACTGGTTATTTCCCCTGGTCTTCTGGGCCGTTACCTACCCCTGGCACAGGCAGAGCTGGTGCAGGAGGGTCCTTGCTGGCAGACTCCCGTCTTTGCCATCGTTCTGAGGTCTGACGTGTCCTTGCCGATGAGCCACCAACGTCTGATCTTACTTCCTTTCAGACCCTGAGCTTGGAAATTGCTCTCCCCACCAGTTTCTTCCTGCCTCTTTCCCTCCCTCACCCTCAGTGACTGGCAGTTCTTCCTCACTGAGGTTACAGCCCTGACCCCTCTCAGTTTCCCGGCCCATCAACTCCCTCCTGAAGCCTGGCCCCCATCCCCGATCCTCACATTCACTCTGTAGTCACTAGCTTCTGGGCTCTGCGGCCACACCTCGTGTCCCCCACCCTCCCCACGACATGCCGTCCGCACCACTCCTTGGTCAGCTTTGGGGGCAAAAGTCACCTGGAGTTGCTGTCAGTGTCTTCCTTTACTTGGGTGAGGTTTACTCCTTATCCCATCCTCCACAGTGGCTGTTTCCAAAATTTCTGGTCAGGAATTCCCTGGCGGTCCAGTGGTTGGGACTCTGCGCTTTTACTGCCGAGGGCACGGGTTCGATCCCTGGTCAGGGAAACTAAGATCCTCCAAGCCACGTGGCACAGCCAAAAAAACTTAATAAAAACAAAACAAAACAACCTCCTGGTCTTAAGCTCCAGCCTCGGTCCCGCTTAGAGAGACAGAGCTGCACAGTGGGAGTGATGTGAGTGCTTGAAGCTCCCTGGGTCATCAGCGCACCCCCCATCTTCCTTCATCTTCCCTCCCTTCCCCACTCCCCGTCTCCTTTGCATGTGCTCATGTCCTCCATACCACCCCCGTCTTGTTCTTCCTGTCTCTTCTCTGGCTCCTGCACTCTGGTCTGTGCCAGACTCCAGATTTCCCAATCTCAAACCACCCTTGCCTTCACCATTTCTCCCCACCCCTCCCCTCCAAGCTGCTTTCATCTTCCTTTCAGCCATCACCAAGGTCACCAAGTTCTTGAGAGTACCCTGTGTCCCTCTTCTCCAGTCCTTTGCCAGCTGCTCCTTCACCCCTTCAGTGTGCTTCCCACTGCCTCCTTCCCTGAACCACTGGCCTAAGGGTCATCCATCGCAAAGTCCCAGGAGCTCTTCTCTCATTAATCTGCTCTGTTGCTCCACAGCCTTTGATTCTGGAGCCCACGTCTTATTTGAAACTCTCTTCTCCCTCGGCATCCGTGACTCCCCTCATTCTTTTCCTTTCTTTTTTTTTTTGGAATGGATCCTTCAAATTCAGTGGCTTGATAAAATTCTGCTGCCTGCATCTTTGCTGTGCCTTTGACGTGACATTCAAGGCCCATGAACATCTGGCCTCAGTCTGATTTTGCAGTGCGTCTATCTGTCTATGGAGGAGCCTGTCTCCGTCTACCTGAGGCTCCTAAATCGCTCATCTCCAGCCTGCATCTTCAGAGCTCCAGAAGCTCAGTTTCAGTTGCCTGTACCAAAGCACATGAACATGTCCCTTAGGCCCCTTTATCTTCACATATAGAAACCCAGTATCATTCGCTGCCCACTCCTCATACCTGATTCCCATCCTGTGTTAGTGACATCTTGGGAAATGGCACTCATCGTCCACTTAGTTCCCCAGGCCAGAGCGTCTTTCCTCATCCTTCAGTCCCACATCTGTCAGTCCGTACTTCTATGGACTCCGTACCGTGGCCACACCAGACAATGTGACCCTTTCCAGAATGTACTTCCATCCTTCTCCTCGCCTTTTCACCTGATGGGATGCCTTCTCTGCCTACCAAAAACCACTTTGTTCTTCAAGACCCAATTCAGATGCTGCTTCCTCCATGAAGCCTGCCTTGTCTTCCAGGGAAACTGATTGGTCTTTCCTTTCAGTCACCGCCCCATGTTTTGTTAGTTCAGTTAATGTGTCCATCTTTGTCACTGAGACTCAGTTTCTTGAGGTCAGCGACAGTATAATAGATATGAACTGTTTTATCTCCCCTCTTGCCTAGTACAGGTCTTGTGCACAGTAGGTGCTCAATCAGTGCTTGTTGTCTAAGGGAATGAGCAGTGTTAAGGATGATGACTGAAAGCAGAGGAGGTGATCATTTTCTTCAGATGTGAGCTGAGGAAAAGCAGTGCAGAGCTAATTCCTTCACAAGCACTTGTGTGACATGAGGCATTCTGGGATGGAGAATTTTGCTGCAAAGATTCTGAAGCAGGTTTCTACCTGTGGACGGAGTGAGGATGGTCCAGGCAGCTTTCCAAGGAGTGAGCTGCTGGCCATGGCCTGATGCCACCTCTCTCCTATCCTTCTGCCACCCCCTTGCCCAAGTGCAGCACGTGGATCTTTTGTTCCTCAAACTGCCAAGTTAGCCCTCGCTCTGCATGAGTTTCTGCCCCTGCCTGGATCCCATCATCCAGGTCTCCAAGCTGGCACATCACCAACACTATTCCCGCCCTCCCCTCAATATAGTTACCAGCCCCCTTGCTCTGTTCTTTCTAAACCCACTGGTTCTGCATCCAGCCTACGTTAACCCTCATCTAGCTTATCTGTAAAGTGGGGTATCCCGGGGCCTTGCACCCCACAGCATTGGCGTCATCTGGGCATTTGTTAAAATACAGAGTCTTGGGCTCCACCCCAGACCTGTGGAACCAGAATCTGCATTTTAGTTGGAAGGTATAGCAGTGGTCTAGAAGTCACTGATTCTCCAGTTTCTAATGTATAGCCCCATTTGAGACCCACTGCTCATGGGGGTTGTGGTCAGGATTAAATGAGAGAGTGTATACAGTCAGTAAATATTATTTTTATTATTACTCTTCTAATCGTAATGCTCAGCACATGGTATGACATTCATTTGCTTAAAGGTCTGCTTTCCCTGTGAAAGGTGAGCACCACGGGGGCGGGACCTCTGTCCACCTTGTTCACTGCGGCAGCCCTCGCCCCTCAGCGTGATGCTGACACTTAGTAGTCACTCAATAGATACTTGTTGGGTGAATGAACAGACGTTATTGAAGACAGTGGCTGGCCTAGACCTCTGTCACCTCTGTGCTATTTTTTGAGGGGTGGAATGGGAAGGAGACTGCAGTTCTTGAGTGCCTGCCGGTGTGCCACGTGCATTTACACGTTATTGAAGTTGATCCTCCCACAGCCCGGGAGGTCAGTGTCATTGTCTCCACTGCCCACATGAGGAAGCAGAGTCTCAGGGTAAGGAACCTGTCAGAGATCACAGGCTAGGAAGTGGCAGGGCGAGATCTGCCTTTCTTCAAGATGCACCATTTATTTATTTATAAACACGACCTGAATGGTGCAATTCTGGATTGAGGAATGCTTTTTTTTAAAAAATTTTTTTATTTATTTAGTTGCAACCAGGTCTTAGTTGTGGCAGGCGGGCTCCTTAGTTGCGGCACGTGGGCTCCCTAGTTGCGACAGTTGGTCTCCTTAGTTGCGGCTCGCCGGCTCCTTAGTTGCGGCATGTGAACTCTTAGTTGCAGCATGCATGTGGGATCTAGTTCTCTGACCAGGGATCGAACCCAGGCCCCCTGCATTGGGAGCGCAGCAGGGTCTTATCCGCTGCGCCACCAGGGAAGTCCCGAGATGCACCATTTAAGTGTGTTGGTTGAGCTCTCAGGAAAGGAAGGGAAAACACTGTGCTCGAAGGCACATTAAGGAATCATATTTGGTTGTGTTGTAGCTGGAGAGAAAAGACCCCTCTGAAGACAAGGAGGACATTGAAGGCAACCTGCTCAGGCCGACCGGCGTGGCCCTCCGCGGAGCGCACTTCTGCCTGAAGGTCTTCAGGGCCGAGGATTTACCGCAGAGTGAGTCTGGTGCCCTCGTCGGGTGACTGTGAGGGGGGACGCTGGGCTGGGCTGCCTCAGCTCCCTGGGGGAAGGAGATGGAGGGGCTGGTCCCCTGCTCCCTCTCTGCCTCCCCTTGGCCTGGCTTCCTCACCCCGAGGGTCTACTAGATCCGTGTCAGCCCAGTTCTCCCTCTGCTCTGCCGTCTGGCGAAGCCTCACACACTCTCTAGATTTCCCAAGGCTTTTTACTGTTCTTAACAGAAAAACAGTCAGAATTAACGAGAAGTAATACTGATGCTGGTGGAGTCACAGAGATGCAAGAAATCTTGAGAGTACTAGCTGCCCCTGGGCTCCGTTTCAGCATCCGCTAGGCCTGGTCTGGCTCTTTGGCCACTCCATGCACCCATCTTCTTGGCTCTCACTGGGGAGTCAGCACCATTTCAACTCCCTGTTCTGTGCTCACGGCTGCATCCCACTGATTTTCTTTCTCTCCTCTAGGAAGCCCCAGCCTGAAAATTGGCAGACCCTGGGCTGGGGAAGCAGTTGCTGAAATGTTAGAAGGGCTCAGTCTAGTTTGCCTGGGACTGTCCTGGTTTTAGCACCAAAAGTCCCACATCCCTGGTAAACTGGGACCGTGGGTCACCCTAGCTGTGGCTATGTCCTCATCATCCCAAGAAGGCCACTGTGGCCACTGCCTGATTTCTCACAGTGACTAACCCTGTACTAGCCCTACCCTGTGTGCTCAATAAATGTGGGGGAATTATGCTGAATATTCTAAGGCTGTGGGTGTCAACCCAGGCTGCAGTTAAATCATCCTGGAAGCTTTAAGGAAGTGCAGATGCCTGGGCCCTTCCTCCAGTGTTTCAGATTGACTTGGTTTGGGGTGGGGCTTACACACTGGTAGTTTAAAAATGCTCCCTGGTAGTTCTCTTGCTGCGGGCTATAAGCCACTATTTTGGAGCATGCATTAGCAGAATTAAGCCAGGCGCTGTCCATAGCAGAGTTCACAAGAACAAGTAGTGGGGGACTACTTGGGTCCCTGTTTACGAGTTTTCCATGAAGCTAATTGCTTGAGGCTTTCTGCTTTGACTAATGACACCAATAAATGGGTTCCTTCTGCACAAGCTTAATTGAACCAAAATCATGGGGAAAGTCTTTAAATAAGTAATGGGCATTAAAATGCAGGCTTAGAACATTCTGCATCTGTTGGTTGAAACTATGCAGAAGTGAGGCTGGTGAGCTTCCAAAGGGGGCTGGGGAAATAGAAACGTTAGCTTTGCTCAGGGTAAAGGGGATTATGTTGAATTCTCTGAAATGTTGTTTAAATATAAATAAAAGAAAAATAGATGGGTAAATAGAACATAAATACTTGCTAATTGTTATCTGTTGTATTTGTGTAGACACTGGCTAGTATACAATTGTTAACCGTCCCCTCCTCTCATTTTCTCATTTATATACATATGTACATTTATACATAACATATATATACATACATACATACACACATCTATCATCTGTAAATACATATGTAAAAAATATGGCTAATTCAGTAAAATATTGGTTTGAAGCAGCATAGATTAAATATATATATATATATTTAAACAGAATTGACTTATTGGTTACCCTCAGGAAAATCACTGTGCTAATGTATATAAAGGAAAATGTCAAACAGGCACCAGTAATGGGATATTATTATAACAACTTCCAGTCTTTTTTTTTTTTTAATTAATTTATTTTTGGCTGCATTGGGTCTTCGTTGCTGCGAGCAGGCTTTCTCTAGTTGTGATGAGCGGGGGCTACTCTTTTTCTTTTTTTTTTAACATCTTTATTGGAGTATAATTGCTTTACAATGGCGTGTTAGTTTCTGCTGTATAACAAAGTGAATCAGCTATACATATACATATGTCCCCATATCTCCTTCCTCTTGCGTCTCCCTCCCACCCTCCCTATCCCACCCCTCTAGGTGGACACAAAGCACCGAGCTGATCTCCCTGTGCTATGTGGCTGCTTCCCACTAGCTATCTACCTTACGTTTGGTAGTGTATATATGTCCACGCTACTCTCTCACTTCATCCCAGCCTACCCTTCCCCCTCCCTGTGTCCTCAAGTCCATTCTCTGTGTCTTCAGTCCTGTCCTGCCCCTAGGTTCGTCAGAACCATGTTTTTTTTTTTTTAGATTCCATATATATGTGTTAGCATACAGCATTTGTTTCTCTTTCTGACTTCACTCTGTATGAAAGTCTCTAGGTCCATCCACCTCACTAAAAATAACTCAATTTCGTTTCTTTCTATGGCTGCGTAATATTCCATTGTATATATATGCCACATCTTCTTTATCCATTCATCTGTTGATGGACGACACTTAACATTGCTTCCATGTCCTGGCTATTGTAAGTAGAGCTTCAGTGAACATTGTGGTACATGACTCTTTTTGAATTATGGTTTTCTCAGGGTATATGCCCAGTAGTGGGATTGCTATTCCCACTATAGCGTGGTAGTTCTATTTTTAGTTTTTTAAGGAACCTCCATACTGTTTTCCATAGTGGCTGTATCAATTTACATTCCCACCAACAGTGCAAGAGGGTTCCCTTTTCTCCACACCTTCTCCAGCGTTTATTGTTTGTAGATTTTTTGGATGATGGCCATTCTGACTGGTGTGAGGTGATACCTCATTTTAGTTTTTAAAAAAAGTTTATTTATTTATTTTATTTATTTATGGCTGCATTGGGTCTTCGTTGCTCCACGTGGGCTTTTCTCTAGTTGCGGCGAGTGGGGGCTACTCCTCGTTGTGGTGTGCGGGCTTATTGCTGTGGCTTCTCTTGTTGTGGAGCATGGGCTCTGGGTGCACGGGCTTCAGTAGCTGTGGCACACAGGCTCAGTAGTTGTGGCTCATGGGCTCTAGAGCACAGGCTCAGTAGCTGTGGTGCATGGGCTTAGCTGCTCCGTGGCATGTGTGATCTTCCTGGACCACGGATCGAACCCGTGTCCCCTGCATTGGCAGGTGAATTCTTAACCACTGTGCCACCAGGGAAGTCCCCAACTTCCAGTCTTTTTCTGGATTATTTACTGCTCTTAGCGATGTAGATTTCTAATCAGTCAATCAATCGGACCTGTTCTGAAAGCCTCTGAGAATGGGGCCGGGGACAGTGAACCAGCTGTTTGGAGCTGGGCAGGGAAGCAGCGCAGTGCCCTCAGGAGCTGCTATTCTGAGATGGTCCTTTCTCCCAGGAGCCCTGGGCTGAGGGGTCCATGGCGTCTCTCTCAGGGAGTCCCAGGACTGTGGGGAGACAGGGGGGAAGTGGGGGTTTTGAAGATGGGAGAGCGGGTGGGCAGTGATCAGCATGTCTTTCTCCTCAGTGGATGATGCCGTAATGGACAACGTGAAGCAGATCTTTGGCTTTGAGAGTAACAAGAAGAACTTGGTGGATCCCTTCGTGGAAGTCAGCTTCGCGGGGAAAATGGTAAGGGGCAAGTAAACAAGAGGATTTGTGGGAGGGTGACGACTGGGTGTTCCTGTGGATGGGCACTGGATGTGCAGGACAGAGTGAGGCACACACAGTGCCCCCCATCAGAGGCATGTGCACACCGGGGATGGGGGGCTGATTGTGGGACATGGGGTGAGACACGCAGGCCCAGCTCTCTGGGGCTGCCATGCACACACACGAGGACAGGTCTGCTCAGGTGTTTGAGACAGACACATAGGTGTGGATGGACACGGAGAGGACACATGGACAGTGGATAGATAGAGGAATATTTGGGGGAAAATTAAGTAATAGTCAGGAAACCAGATGTGAAGGCACAATGATAGGGAAACTTAAAAACAATGCAGTGAAAACATAATGATTATTTTAAAAAAGTTGCGGCAGGAGTTGGGCAGACTCCTTTCGGGCACACTGGTGGGGGCCCTAGGGATCATGTACCTCTCTTCCTTCCTGCCTAGAGGCCGGGCTGTTGCTCCAGTCCCTCTTGATTTCTGCCTGGGCCCCTCCCTCTATCCCACCTTAGGGATGGCTTTGCCCACTTTCCAGGCTCTCCTTCGAAGCCTCAGCCACTCCCAGGGTTCAGCCATCACCTCTCCACAGAGGAATACACAGCTGTATTTAACTCTGACCCCTCTCCTCAGACACAGACCTCCCCATGCCTCTTCAAGTCTCTATATTCTGCCCCTCCAGCCCTTTAAAGGAGTCATCTGCTGCCCCAAACCGCCCCACTTCCAGAAGCCACCATCCCAATCAGTGCCACCATCAAAGGCAGAAAATGTGGGCCTGCCCTGATTCGGCCCTCTTGTTTTTGACCTCCCTACATCAAAAACATGCCACCCCTAGCTCTTGCCTTCAAAAATCCCGAGGTCCTTTCCTGTCTCTATGACCCTAGTCACTGTCATCTCTCCCCAGGGCAACACAACAGCCTTGGGTCCATTCTCTTGACCGGGTTCTCCCCATAGAAATCCACCAGCATATTTAGTGTAAAACACAGTCCTGTCTGTAAAAGGAAGTTCAAACCGCATAACCTGGTTGACCAGGTCTCACCCAGCCGAACTTTCTCGCCTCATCTCCATGGCCAATATTAGCTTGTACAGTCTTTGCGAGAATGTGGAACATCTCGCCCCCTCCTGGGCGGACGCAGCTCTGCAGCCCGCTTGGAGCAGCGCCGAACTGAGCGGGTTTCAGCCCCACTGTCTCGCTGGGGGGGCGGGGTGCGGCGGGGTGCGAAGTGGGGCGTGCGGGTACAAACCGCACAGCCCGCACGTCGCCCGTGCGTCCTCTCGTCTGCCCTGCGGTCACACCTCTAGCTTTTGCCCGGGCCTGTGCGCTCCGGGGTCCTTCCTGGCCCTTCCCCCCCCCCCCCCCCCGCAAGTCTGTTGCATCGTTCAAGGTTTAGCTTCCGTCACCCACACAGGCCTGATGTGCTAGTTCGGCCTTCGGGGCTCCGCGCGGCCGATCGCACGGCCCTTTTTTAGCCCGTTTTCCGCTGCATTCCGGTGTTTGTTAGCATATGTTCCTCTGACTTTCGGGGATACAGCCCAATTTCTTTTACTCTGTAACCTCAGAGCAGAGACTGGTGGAAATACTGGAAATAGGGGAGAATGACGTATCTGGAAGGCGCAGCCTCCACCCCGGCTCCCGGAACCCTAACGAGGCGCCTCTGAGCTTCGTGCCAACCTCAGGGAGCTGGCAGGGTGGGGTAGCGCCCTCCGGGGCCCCGCCGGCCTGGGCCAGAGGTCCACCGGCCGGCCGCAGCGCCAGACTCCGGCGAGTTGAGTTGGATGACTTGGGTGTTAACAGGAAAATTGGAAACGGGCGGAGGAGAAGGGCTTTGAACAGAGCCGAGTGGAGGGCGGGTGCAGCCGGCTCTGCTTTGCTCCCGAGGCAGAGGCCGGAAGGGGGAGACACGCAGGTGTTATAGGACAACTGGGGAGGCGTTTACAAGCTTAACAACAAACGCTAAAAGCCTAGGGTGATTGATGATGGAGGTGGTGTGGGCTCCCATTTACACAGCACTTTGCAGTGTTCTTTTTCACTTAATCTCTTCTTAGATTCATTTTGGAAAGATGTAGGGTCTGCCTGCCCATCCCACCAACAAAGAGGACCCCTGAGGTCAGGGGCCGGATTGCTGAGGCCCAGGTGTGATTTCACAAACAGGATGAAGGCCTTGGATAGCTTGTTTCCTCTGCCTGCTACCTGAAGTCCACACTCTTCCCCCTCCCCCCCGCCACCGTTTTATCTTTTCTTTCTTCTTTTATTATCGATGCACATATTTATTAAGGAATTTTGAAAAATGCAGAAAAAAGTAACATTATCCATAAGGCATCATACAAAGTTTATGTTTGGGGCCTATCTTTCTAGTTTTTAAAATTTTTTTCTTGCTCCGGACGCGCAGGCTCAGCGGTCATGGCTCACGGGCCCAGCCGCTCCGCGGCATGTGGGATCTTCCCGGACCGGGGCACGAACCCGTGTCTCCTGCATCGGCAGGCGGATTCTCAACCACTGCGCCACCAGGGAAGCCCTAAAATTTTTATTTTTTACTGTGAATCAATATTAGACACTGTTGAAACACTTTATTTTTTTAATATTTAAAAACATAAAAGTTGAAAGAATGGTTCAGTGAACACTTACCCCCTGGTATGGCCTCCACTTAGATGAAACAATTATGAACATTTTACTGCATTTACTTTCTCTCTCTCTCTATGGATACTCCCCCACCCTCCCCCAATCATTTGAAACCTAGTTGCACACTTTGCCCTTAAAGGCTTCAGCATGTACCTCCTGAGAAAAAGAAAATTCTTTGTAACCACAATGACATTATCACACCTAGGAAATTAACAATTATCTCCTACTCTTGTCAGATACTGGCTCATATAAATATTCTCTGATTATCCCCCAAATGTCTTTTAGAGCTGTTTAATTTTGTTTTGATCTAAGGTCCAACTGGAATTTATGCTCTGCGTTAGTCTCTTCTGTAACAGTCTTTTACCCACCTCCATCATTCCCATTTTTCTCACCCCACAACATTGCATTTTTGAAAAGCCCAAGCCATTTGTCCATGTCCTGGATTTGTCCCATTTTTTCCTTCTGTTGTTGTTTAACTTATTCTTCTGGCCCCTGTATTTCCTATAAACTGGAAGTTAGGTCTCAAGACCAGATTGCATTCAAATGAACTGTTTAGGCAAGAACGCATCATGGGTGATGTTTCGTACGTCGTATTGCATCACAACAGGAAGCAAAATGTCACCTTGTCCCACCATTGGTAATGATTGATTACTTGGTTTAGGTGGTGTCTCCAGATCTCTCCCTTGTCAAAGCACACGCTCGCCTTTGTACTTTGCAGGTTATCTGTGGGCGATATCTTGATGTGTGCTGATGTCCTGTTTCCCAGCAACCTCTTACCTAATGGTCCACGAAGCCATTGACCTCCTTGCCTGAACAAGTCATTCACCTGGGGTGCAAAGCGGCGATTCCCTCATTATCATTCCTTCTCTCTTTATCAGCTGGTGTTTTTTGTAAAAAAGAGCTTCCCCTCCCCTCTTCCCTTTTGAGTGTTAATATGCCCCCAATACTTTTTACTAATTCAGTGTGTTAAGATCAGTTATGGTGCTGGTTGTGTGAACCGTCCTGCTGTTGGCCAGTGGGAGCGCCTTTGAGCTGTTCCTCCATCCCAGGCTAAGACAGGGTCTCAGGGGAAATGTCTGTGGTGGGTCTTACCGAAGTGCAGTTTTTGTTTGGGCTTGGGCTCAGAGTCTGATGCCCTTAGGAGGGACCGTGATGGGATGAATGAAGGCAGGAAGGAAGCAGGAAGGTTGGCTGGACAGTCCTGCTGGACACTTACTCCAAGGACCGGGATCAGTTTTCCCAGCTTGACAGATGGGAAAGTCATGTCTCAAGATTGTTTTTATTCCACATTCCCAACATGGTAGGGTGCTGTGATGATGGCTAGAACCAAGACAGACCTGCCTTCCAATTCAGTGGCTTTCCTTGGAGCTGAGTCTCAGAGCTCTGGGGCTCCTAGCTGCTACTGGGTCCCTGCCAGCACCTTGATCTCTCTAGGTCTTCTCCTGTTCTGAGATGCCCTTAACTGGCCCTGGGGATTTTTCTAGGAAGGTGCAGATGTCTGGGGAGGGTGATAGAGGTAGGGGACCTGGCCCAGGCAAGGGAATATATAAAGCTGACTGGTGGCTGGGCTCCTGAATGAAGCTGCACCCTCCATTTTCCCTCTAGAAGGAAGGGGCTTATGAAAGAGGCAGTTGAGACCCTCCCACTTCTGGTGGTCCCCGGGTCTCTGTGTCCCCTGCTCTCTGCCCCAGCCACCTCGTCATGGCTTCCCCCAACTCTCTCTGCTACCTTTATCACCTGTGTCATCCTGCCTGTCCTCTCTCTGTCTCTGGTGTGTCACTTTTTCTCATTCATCCTTTTCTGAAATGAAAAGCCCTGCGGATTTGTCCTCTGTGTGCCTACTCACCCAAGCCTGGCCCTCTTTGCATTTCCTCTAATGGACACTTGGTGGCACTGTTATCTAAGATGTGAACCATACCTGATTTGGCCAAGCTACTGAGATAGAAGGTTGTGTGTGTGTGTGCACTCACACACACACATATCACACTTCTTCATGGTATGGGGCAAGGACAGGGGAGGTACTTGGAGGGCAGAGTGGGAGACTAAAGCAACTTTTTTATTTTCCAAGAATAAAACCTATTAATCATAAAAAGATGAAAAAATCAGAGAAAAGCAAGGAAAATGAAAAAAATTAAGCACATTTCTGCACACCACCTTGGAGAGGCCCACCATTAACATTTGTTTATATCTCCTGCTAGTATGTTTTCCTCCCTGTAGCTCTCACTCCTTCTCTCTGTTGCACATCCCCCCCGCCAACCCTGGCCCTGCCCTGCCCCACTGGAAAAAAAAATTGGATTCAGAATACGGTTGATCTTCATTATTCACAGATTCTGTATTTGCAAATTTGCCTACTCGCTAAAATTTATTTGTGACCCAAAATTAATCCTTATGGTGCTTTGGTGATCATTTGCAAAGCTGTGAACAATTTGAGTCAGCTGAGGTGCATGTTGCCAGCTGAGCTGAAACAATGTGATTCCCTCCTTGTTTCAGTTCTCATGGTGTAAATGTGTCCTTTTCCTGGTCTATTTAGTGTCATGCTTTTTGCATTTTTTGTGCTTTTTGCTGGTGATTTCAGTGTTTACAATGGCTCCCGAGTGTTGTGCTGAAATGCTGTCTAGTATTTCCCTGTGTGAGAAGGCTGTGACGTGCCTTATGGAGAAACTATATATTAGGTAAGCTTCATTCAGGCATAAGTGAGAGTGCTGTTGGCTGTGAGTTCAATGTTAATGAATCCACAATATATAATAAAAAAACGGTGTTTTGAAACAGAAACACACATAAAACAAGGTTATTGGTGAGTTGACAAAAAACTGCTGTGACAGAGGCTTGCAGGAACCTAACCCTGTATTTCTCTTAGGAGCAATGCTTCAGTGTTTATCAGCTCATGTTCTTGGTGACTTACGATGTGTAGTTAGAATGTGTAACTACCGCCAGTAATGAGAATCCACTATATCTGTGTGGTTTGGTAAAGTGCTTTTATCACCTAACATTTCCTTACGTTATTAAATAGTCTTTGAAATCAATTTTTTGATGGCTGCATAATATTCCATGAGATGATATAACATAAATTTTAATCGATTTTTGGATTTTTTTTTTTTTGCAATTTTCCTCTTTTATGAACAACTGTGACAAACATCCGTGTACAGGACTTGTCTACACTCTGATTGGTTTTCCATAGGAAAGTTTCTAGAACTGGGTCAGAGGGCATGCTTATTTTTAAGTATTTGATACAGGTGGCTAAAGAGCCCTCCAGAAAGGGTGTAATAAATACACCCCATCAGGAAGGGAAAGAGGGTAAGAAATAAAAAGGCTCAGAGAGGAGGAGGCAGACGGGGAGAGGAAGCTTGGTGCTGCCTTGGCTGAGTGTGGGGAGTGAAGCAGGGTGTGGGAAGGCAGCTGGGGATTTCTAGGGCCAGAGGCAGTGCTGGCCTGGGTGGGGGGAACCTGCTGTGTTCAGGCTCCCAAACCCACATCTCGGTGGCTCTCTCACGGGGAGCCTCCAAGGGCAGCCCGGAGGAAGTGATTGCTGGGGAGACCTTGGACTGCCTGTGGCAGGGCTGGGGGAGGGTGGGGACAACCTGTGCCTTCTTGTCCAGGGAGCTGAGTGATGCTGCCAGGGTCTCTCAGCTGTGTCTGATTAACGAGTCTTCCCTCCCTTCCCTCCTTCCTTCCTTCCTTCCTTCCTCCCTCCCTCCCTCCCTCCCTTCCTTCTTTCCTTCCTATTTTAAACTTTTGTTCATCTAAGTTTTGAATTAGGTAATACATTTATTATGCCCACCATATACATTTATGCGTCCATCATTTTGCATCATTGTGGCTTAATTATGCATATGCTGCACACATCTGACCATAAATTCTTACCTTTTACCCTTTTAACACAAACGGTTGCACATGACACTCACTGTTCTGCACCTTGCTTTTTTCACTTAATAATATAACTTGGAAGTTGTTTCATATCACAGAGCTCTTTCATTCTTCTAGGGCTACACAGTGCTCCATTCTGTGGATGGATCACATTTTATCTAATCTGTCCTCTGTTGGTGGACACATGGGTTGTTCCACGTCCTCCCTAGTTGGAGCCATGCTGCAGTGAGTAACCTCGTACACGTGTTATTCTGCACACGTGCAAGTCTTTCTGTAGGATACTTTCTAGAGGTAGAACTGGTAGGTCAGAGGGCATTTGCATTTGTAATTTTGAACGATAGTGGCCAATTGCCCTTTGGAGGGGTTGAGCTGTTCTCTTTTCCCACCAGCAAAATCCTAGCGTGCAGTTTTCCCATCGCCTTGCCAAGAGAGGGCTGTCAGGCTTTAGAGATTTTTGTGAATCTGATAGATGAGACATCGTATCTCATTCATTTTGTTTCTTTTATTATGAGGGAGATTAAGCATCTTTCTGTGTGCTTTACAGCCCTTTGTGTATCCATTCCTGAGAACTGTGTGTCCCACTTTGCCTTTTGTTCCATCTGATCGTCGGAGCTCTTCTTTCCTTACTCCTCTCTTTGCTCACACAAGGGCCAAATCCCGGCACTCATCCCCGCCCCCAGACTTTGCCTGGGCTCTTCTCACAGGGAGGAGGGGATGGTGGGCACAGGGGCTGGTACTGGGTGGATCAGGGATGGAGACAAAGTCCTGGCCCCTAGGGAGGCCACACCCTCATTTGATGGAGGGCCCAAAGCTCCCAGTCTGGTCAGGTGCTCATTAGATGAGAAAATGCATGTAAATGCTTCACACAATCAGGGCCCACAGTAAATGCTCTGAGGAAGGTTGCTCACTGTTCCCGTGTGTAGGACACACACACCTTCCAGGATCTGAAGCAGAGTCTTCACCTGCTGCCCTGGGTGGGTACAGGATGCCCTGGGCTGGCTAAGGGACCTGGTGCCTCCCTGGGGACGCCCAGGACAGAGAAGAACACACAAGCCGCTGGTTTGGATCTGGTTTCCACCTCTGCTAGGTTTCTTGTTTGTGGAAAGCCCAGTCTTATGAGCAGGGCTGATTGGAGGCAGACTGTGGCTTATGAGGTTTGTGTCTTCACTGCATTTTCCTCTCTCAGATGCAGGGGCATGGCCCCCTGCCCTGGCCCTCCAGCTCCCCTTTCCTCTCCTCCTCCCTCCATCTCTAATCTCCTGGGTTCACAGTCTTCCAAAAGGGCAGGTGATCTGGGCTGATGGGCAAAGGGGATTGCCTCAGACTCTAGGACTCCTGGGAAAGCTGGTCTGGACGCAGGGCCCCATATTTAGGGTCATGGCCATAATGGGAGGTGAGGGAGGAGAATTTCCAGCCAGAGGTATGAGATAAGGAAGAAGGGTTGTGACATTCAAACAATCTATTCCTCTTAACTCCCTCCACCCCATGCCCCATTGGGTCTGATCTACCATTGAGCTTTGTCTCTAGAAAGATTCCCTGTGTCTGAGCCCACTGCACCAGGCTCCATGGCCCCCAGGGCCTTCTGCCCAGCCCAAAACGTGGCCAGCATGGCAGAGAATGGCTGCTGGCTGGTGTGGTGGTCTCCGAGGGAGCCCAGAGTCCCCTCAAAGCTCCATCTACCTGTGCTCTGTGTCTTCTAGCTCTGCAGCAAGATCCTGGAGAAGACGGCCAACCCTCAGTGGAACCAGAGCATCACGGTGCCTGCCATGGTGAGCCTCACCCCCATGAGCCCACCCCAGGAGGCCTGGGCTCCCAGCCTACCCAGTTCCCGCCCGCATCCCAGACTTCTGCTTCTTCAGAAGGACCCCACCCAACCCGTCTCTCTTCCCTCCTTAGTTTCCCTCCATGTGTGAGAAAATGAGGATTCGTGTCATAGACTGGTGAGCTCTGCGTCCCGGGATCTTTAGAGGTGGCTGTTGTCAGGGGTCACTTGGTCCTTCGGTTTCCTTTTGTTCATTCTGAAAGAAGTGGGAGAGTCTGTTTCAGGTGAGGTAGTTTCCTCTGGGGGAGGCCAGAGAAGGAGAGGGTGTGGGCTGTTGTGAAGCTTACAGCCCTGTTCGAGGGCAGCCGGGGGCGCTGAACAGCTCCAGGAACCAGAGATCCCTGAGGCCAGGAGGGGCCAGGAAGGCTTCCTGGAGGAGGTGAGGTTTTGGGAAGTTCAGGATGAAGGCATTCTAATGAAGAGAGGGTCATAAGCAGAGGCATGGAAGCTGGAAAGAGCAAAGCTTCCAGGAGGGTGGGCTGTGATGCTCCAAGTGTTGGTAGGATAAAACGGGTCTCCAGGCTGGGGAAGTGGGTCCGGTTACCCAAGCTGGGGATGCCACTGCCGGCTTGCAGCAGGGGTGGGCAAGAGTCACACGGTCATCTTAGAAAATGAGTATCTAACCCTTGCTGAGTGTCTACGTGCTCCAGGTCCTCCTCCCAGTGAGCGCTTTACATGCGTGTCTCACCTGACGCTCACCTCGACTCCAGGCACCGCCCGACCTTGCAGATGAGGGAGTAGGTTTGAACAGACTGAGTACCGTGTACGAAGTTGGGAAGCAGCCGAGGCCAGGCTTGAACAAGCCTGTGCTCCCTCCGCCCGTGCGCTTAACCACCGGGCCGTGCTGACCCCTCCGCGTTGAGCCTTCTCTCACGCCCGAGGGCTGTTGGGAGTCCCCACGCACGATCTCCAGGACCTTCCCTACATCAGCCTTTCCCAAAAGAGAGAGTTGTCCTTTCTCTGCCCCCAAAAAGTCTTGGCTGTGTGGTTCCCGGCGTGTTGTCCTTTGGTCTCAGGCCCATGGCACCCCCAGCCAGGAGGATAATGAGAGACTAGGGAAAACCCCCAGGCCACAGAGCCATTAAAGTGTGCGCCAGGTCCCCAGCCCGAGAGAAGACAGCTTGGGAGAATTAGAGGAGAGGAAGGGAGTGCGAGGGGGGCGAGGAGGGAGAGGCCTCTGGGGCCCTGCCCGCCCGTATGCTCTGTGGGAGGTGCTTTGGGGGCAACGTGCTCTACACCCACAGAGCCATCCTTCCCCTCGCTGTGTGTGCGCGCGTGCGTGCACTGGGTGCGTGCCTGTGCGTGGCAGTGTGAGTGGATGCACGCGGGCGTGCGAGCGCAAGGGCGCCGCGTCCCCTGTGTTGTGGACGGCCTCGCCCGAGTCCGTGTGAGCCGTGTGAGGCATCGGCATACTGTACAATCCAAACACATTACCGAATCTGGTGGCTGCCTCTCTGGTTTAGGCTGAAGTGGCATTTTTATTGTGAGTCTATTTTCAGACTTGCTGTATTTTCCAAAAGCAACCCCAAGCCCCAAAATCCAACTCTTGGCCAGAAAGCATTCAGTTGCTGCAAGTTCCTATCCAGAAAAGTGCTTTCTTCCCAGAAAACTCAGATAAACTTGTGTTATTACCTGAATCCTAGAAATACGATATGGTCCATATGGCCTTTTCTCTGTAACTTAATCTTCCATTCAGTTCTCAAAGAATTTCTTTCATTAAAAGACAAAATCCCCCAAACTACCCCCTACCCCGCAAAAAAAACCTGACACAAAATCTCTCTCCTCCCATTCTCTTTCCTTCTCACCAGATTCAGGTAAGACCAGAGGTGAGAAATCCTATTCCTCTCCAAGGGCTGGTCTTTTCTAGGGGTTGGTCATGAAGGCAGTTTAAAAGTGTCATCAACTGTCAATTATCTGGTATTGATAACCTTACTGTAAAATGTTTAAGGGAATTTTTACTTTCCAGTTCATCTTAACGTTATTCACCAGGAAAAGGGATACAGATCTGTGCTGACAATTCACTCTTCCTAATGTAGCCCCCGCCCTGAGAGAAAACTTTAAAGCTTAATCACCTCCCTGGGAAATACAGAGAGAAAGGAAGGGAGCAGCAGAGATCTGGTATCTCATGGCTTTAAGATTTAAAAGAAAAATGAAATTGCCATGCCAAGGCGGGTCTTTCACAATGGGGCGCGTGGGTGTCATCTCCTGAAACCTCCTGTGGCCAAAGGATGCACAGCAGGGAGAGAGGGCCTACTGGGCCCCGAGAGGAGGGAAGATGCACGTGGGGAACCTTCTGGAAGGAGATAGATCCTGCCCCATCCAGCGTTCCTCAGTCTCAGCACTATGACATTTTGGACCGGAAAAGTCTTTGCAGTGGGTGACTGTCCTGTGCATTGTAGGATGTTTGGCTGCAACCATGGCCTCTCTCTACCACTCCCCTCCATATCAAAAATGTTTCCAGACGTTGCCAAATGTCCTGGGGTCAAAATCACTGGATTGAGAACTCTAGGTCTAGCCTAGCAAGGAAGCAGCAGGTTGCTGCAAGCATAGCTCTGGTTTCCATGTCAGGCATATTCTGCTCAAATCCCAGCTTTGCCAACCTGCCTACCTCAGCTTCTTCATCTGAAACCAGGGCTAATTGCAGAACCTGCCTCAGGGCCAACATGAGGTTTAAATGAGCCAAGTCACGTGACGGTGTTAGCACACTGCTTGGCTCTCAGGAGGAGTCCAATAAATGCTGACTATTACTGTATATGGTTGTTAGGGGGGCAGGTGTGGGGCACAGAGGAAGGGTCTGCACAAGACAGTCAGTCCTCAAGCTTCTCCCCATGGTCCCTTATGCTGGCTGGGGAGGGGAGAGGCCTTCTTCTGGGAGGCAGGACAGGCCCCGTATTGTAGACAGAAGCCACGTGGGCCACGGTGCGAGCACTGGACCTGGAGTCTGGACACTAGGGTTTCAGTTCTGGCTCTGCCCCTCCCTCCCAGGCGGACCTCGGGCAAGGACCTTCTGGCTCTGAGCCTCAGTTTCTTCATCCATGCAAAAGAGATGTTAGTAAGAGTACCTGTTCCTCAAGGCTGCTGTGAGAATCCTTGGAGATAAGGGGGTTTAAAAGTGCTTTGTCACATACAGAATCAGATACAAAAAAGAGCTATGCATTAGCTACCATAAGCTAATTAAGACTGTGGCCTTGGAGGTAGTTTCTTCCTGGTCATCTGGTTTTCTCCTTGGTCCGGGTGTGTCTTGGCTCCTAGAGCCTTGCTCTCCCTGGGCCTGGGGGTCTGGCTCCCTGAGCGGCCTCCTGCTCCCCCGCCCTGCCTCCTGCCTCAGGTCTCCTCCCTTTCAACCTGCAGCTGTGCCCGCAGACCTCCAGCATGGCCGATGGGATGCTGATGGTGGGGGGGATGGACTGGGTCCCTCCTAGAGGAGTCTTGAGTGACACTTTCTTGCCTAGGATTACTAGGCCTCCATAACATACCCCGTGTGAAGACTGGGACCCCTAATGATGTATAACCGAGGTCGTTTCCTTCCTGGGTGGGCTGTGGCCTGTGATCCCCCTCCCCTGTTCACGCCCTTTCTGCCCCTTTGCTCTAGGGACCGCCTTACGCACAACGACATTGTGGCCACCACCTACCTGAGTATGTCGAAAATCTCTGCCTCTGGAGGAGAAATAGAAGGTATGTTCCACCTTTGTGCTGCCCTCTGGCCCCCCGTGCTCTCCCCTGTTCCACCCCTACTGTCTTGAGAGTTTGTAGAAAAGGGAAGATTATAAGGTCTTTGCTGCCCATTTCCAAGGGAGAAGGGCTCTGGCCAGTGAGAGAGATGGGTTTGCATTTAGGACTGGCCCACTTCGGATGGTGGGATACACCACCGAATGGCATAGAGAGGATTCATTCCTGCAGACGATATTGGTGGCTGTGGCCACACCATCCACTGGGTTCTGGGTTGGCTGACTGTGTTCTAGCGCTTCTGTTTTGAAAAAGCTTTCATTGGCCTGTGAACAAGTAGTTCATGATCATTTTGTACAATTTAAAAGAGATAGTCTGAAAGAACAATATAAAATTGTCACAAAATTATCCATAAGCCTACCCTCCCAGGCAAGAGGTAAATATTAACATTCTGGGACCTGTTTGTCTGTATGTATGTACATGAAAAACATGGCTTTGAAACAATTTTCCATTGTTTTGAAAATTGCTTTTTGTCACTTGGCAATACAACATAGATGTTTACTCATGTTATTAAGTATTCTTCTACAGTATAATTTTAAATGAATACACACATTCCATTGTGTGAATACACCATAGTCCACATTAACTAAATGTGGAATAGTTAAGTGTTTTCTAATTTTTCCATGTTATAAACAGCTAACTTGATATTGAATATTTTTGTAACTGAATCTTTATGTAATTCATGATTTTTCTTTTGCATAAATACCTAGAAGTGGAATTGCTGTGTTGAAAGATTCGAACATTTTAGGGACTTCCCTGGTGGTCCAGTGGCTAAGACTCCATGCTCCCAATGCAGGGGGCCCAAGGTTCGATCCCTTGTCAGGGAACTAGATCCCACATGCCACAACTAAGCCCTGGCCCAGCCAAATAAATAAAAAAATAAATATTTTTAAAAGATTTGAACATTTTGAATCTTTTGGTATATATCAAAAGTGCCCTACAAAAAGACTGGACTAATTTATACTCTAATCACTCAAGCTTATTTTGCTGCACCCTCATCAACAAAATGCAAAATAATGGTATTTAAAAAGAATTTTGTCAATTTGTTGGGTGAATTTCATTGTTGCCTTAATTTTATTTCATTGATACCTGGTAAAGTTGACCGTTGTAAATTTTAAAATATTGTAATAATTATCTTACATTTACAAATTATATATATTTATATACTTTTAAATTTATTCTGTTGTAAATTGCCTATTCATGCTTTTGTCTATATTTCTGATGGTATGCTTGTCTTTTTCTCATTGTTTTTTTAAGAGTTGTGTATGTATGTGGAGGTTAATTTTCTCCCATCATATATGTTGTAAATAATTTTTGTCAGTCTTATTTTACCATTTAGTAGTTTTTAACGTATGGAAATTAAAAAATTGTACACAGCTAAATATATTAATCTTTTCCTTAGTGAATTAGGAAAGGGTTTAACATTACTTTTTTCAAAATTGTTCTGTGGTGATACCAACGCTATATATTGAATAATCTTTTCCCTGCGTTTTGAATTGCCACTTTTATCCCATACTAAATTCCTAAATGTGTTCTTGGGCCTATTTCTTGATTTTCTATTATCTTTAATTGGTATGTCTGCTTATTACTTCTTAGGTTTTGGTATCTGGGCTATGCTGGCTCTGTAAAATTAATTGGAAAGATTTAAAGTCTTTTCTAACATCTGGAACAGTTTATATATCATAAGAATATAGTCTTTTGAGGGTTTGAAAGAATTCACCCATAAAACCATATGGGCTGGGTGCCCTTTTTGAGTGGGTGTTGCACTCGCTCTTTAAAACCTTTTCAGTTTCTCCTGTGATCATTGGTATTTTTAGTTTGTTACTTTTACTATAGTTAATTTTGATAATCTACATTTTCCTAGAAAAACATTCATTACACTGAAGTCTTCTAATTTTTTTACTTACAGTGTTGTGTGGAGTAATCTTTTATAATTTAAACAATTCTCTCTACTTTCTTACTTCTAATGAAATATGTTTGAATTTTCCTTTTTCTTGACTAGGCTAGTTAGAAGTTTTTTTTTTCTCCCTACTTTATTGGACTTTTCAAAGAATATGCTTTTGGATTTAGATATTAATTCTAATATTTTCTCATTTTTTATTCTCTCATCTTTCTACTCTTTAACTCTTTAGACGTATTTTGTTGTTTCCTTTTTAACTTTCTAGTTAACTTCTTGTGTTTATTTTCAATATTTCTTATTTAAATAATGGAGGTATGGTTTCTGCTCCATATGTCATGCTTTTGGCCTTCAGCAAACCCCAAGGTTATATTTATCTCTATTTTTTACATTTAAATATTTAATCTATTTTGAATTTATTTTGGTGTGTTTTCTGAGACTGATTTGATTCCTTTGTAGGTAATCTTTTCTTTTTTTTTCTGACTAGATGCTGTTTGTAGGAATGTCTCTTTTTCCTTGCAGTTTGAAAAATACCTTTGATCTGTCTAGGTGCAGGACTCTTTTCCTTGAATTTTGTCTGAGACATAGAGAATCCTTAAATCTGAGTTGAGGGATGATTTCATTTACTCTGACATTGTTTACCTGAGCAGCTAAAGGCAGGGTGCGGGAGGGGTAAGAGGGGAGCTCTGGAACCAGGCAGCTTGAGAGAGTTGCTCCAGTCTCCTCCCACCAGTCCCAGCCTTGTAAGGTTCTTGTAAGGATCCAGTGAGATTATAAATGTTACATTCTGGTACATAATAAACCCCAAAGTAATGTCTGTTGTTTAGTATTGCTACTACTGGCTTTCTGCATCCCTAATCTGATTTTTCTTCCCACTGTACCAATTCTGCTTTTTACTGCTTCCCATGTGGTTTAAAATTGACTATTGCATTTTTAGTTTCTTGTCATGCCTTCCTTTCCCTCTGTCTCTCTTTTTATCTTTTCCTTTTCCTCTTTGTTCTCTCCCTCAAGTTTTGTTTTGTTCCACAAAAACTATGTCTTCCTGCACTCTACCGAGGATTCCAAATCGTGTTCTGAGAATTTCAGGTGAACACTCTCTTGAATCTTACAGATGCTATTTCCTCCCTGTTTCCCTATACTGGTTGGCCCCCTGTTTTCCCCCTCCCCCTTTATTTACTCTCACAAGATCTGGTCAGTGTTGGTGTCTTTCCACAGACAGGATGTGTAGGTCTCTGTCCACCCATCTTCTCAGATGTTTATCTGGAGGACAGGTTAGCATGCCCAGTTTCTGGAAGATTCCACCTAGCACTCTTGAAGTTGACCAATCCCTTCTAGATTCTCTGAAACATTAAAAAAAAACAAAAACCACCTTTGAATTATAGAAAATTCAAACATACATAAAAGTAAAGAATTCTACAATGAGCTCCCAGGTGCCCTCACTCAGCTTTAACATCTAGCTGCATTCTGTCATTCTGATTTCATCGTTGATACTTGTAATTGGTGGAATACACAGAAACTCCCTTCCAGAAGTCATTGCTATGTGGGCTCCTCCTGCCCCAGCCCCTCCCCCTCCCAACTGTGGGAACTGCTGGTCCCAGGATGCGGTGCTTCTTCTGTGATTGCTGTTCCGAGAGTTGGATGTAGAGGTAGAAGGATTGGAGGTGGGGGCAGTGTATCATGGGAGTGGGTGGGAGAGAGAGTATTCTAGGCTCCTCGTGGATCAGAACTCCTGGCATGGAAGGAACCTCTTCTCCAGTTTCCTGGCTGGTGCCATCCCTGTCTCTGAGTCCAAGGACAGACGCTGGTACAGCACAAAGTGACCTGACTTTTTCAACAGCTGCCGTTTCATGAGGCTATAGCTGCACCAGCTGTCAGCCACCTGAGGGAGAGTTTAGATCCCTGTGCCCCCATCAGTCTTCACGTTTGGTGGTGATGTTGACCTTGATCTTTTCCAGGGTCATCATGAATATTTGAATGGGAACGTGAGAAAGCTGTTTATTTGGCCACTAGATGGCGCTCAGGCCATGGGCAACCCCGCGTGGTTCAGGGACCACTGGCTCCCACAGATTGTTTTGGGCTTAAATGAGAATCTTCTTGCCACCAGCTAACCGGTTTTAGATGTGCAGTTAAATAGCTTGATCTATGTAGCAATAAAAGAGTTAGACTTACTGCTCAAACTGGAGCTGTTCTTCCCAAGCTCCCTCTAGGCCTGGAAGGTTAGCCCTTGCCTCTCTCCCGGCCAAGCTTTTCCCACTTGTCCTGAGGCCACCTCAGAATGTCACCCCAACTTTCAGATCTTTGTGTTTTTCTCCACACTGGGGTGTTCTAGAACATCTGGGTGATGCATGGCCCTTGATTTCCCCACTGCTCTCAAAACCCAAACTAAAGCGAACTGTAAAAATGGGTTCTTTCTCTATATTCCCTGGCCTCACAGTTCACCAGCTTATTTGATCCAACCAGGAGTTTTTGTTTTCGTGTTTTGTTTTTATTTCCAGCTAGGACAGGACCTAACACTAACCTCTTAAGCACCTCTGCCCACAAGTTTGCCTGGGCACACTTAAGTATTCCTTGGACCCTGTGCTCCAAAACATTTAGTAAAAAACTGGTTTTTTAATAAGGAGTGCTTTTCTTAGAAGCTGCAGTACTTTCGAAAGGTAACAGGAACATGAGACCCATGAAACCTACACAGATTCTTTTATAACTTTGTACGTACGAAAATCGTGCTACATAAATAGCACTCAGGCCGTTTTTTCCACAGCTACGAAATCCAAAGTTCGTTTCTTTTTGTCTTTGGAACATAGATGATGAGGATTTCCCAGCAGTTCTTGGTTTCTCCCCCTGCCTGGCGCGGGCTGGTGTCAGGCAGCCAAGCCGTGGGCGTGGGAGATGGGCCGAGAGGCAGAGGCAGCGGCAGGGCTGGCCGCAGGTAGTGGCCTCAGCTTCTCCAGGAGACGCGGGGTCCCGGGCTGGGAGGGCCTGCCCTCTGGCTTCCCCAGGTGAGGGAGCTGGGCCGGGCTGCTCAGGCTACAGAACTGGGAGCATTCATCTGTGTTTTGAGGCTTCCCCAGCCCCTATTCCTTGGGCTTAGGGAAAACACACCAGAACACTTGTGTTTTGGCAGAAGAGTGACGAGGATTAAATAGAGGCTTTGTCTTGGTTGGCTTCACTGGTGACGCTGCCCTTGACTTTATGAGCTGTCTGCAGATACAGGGGAAGGACCCAGGATGATCCTCAGCACCCGGAGACCTGGGACCCTGCCCCCAGATTAGGAGCCATTGGCCTCAGTTGTCAGCAGGGCCGTGTCTCAGCATGCCTTACACTGTGCCTGTTAGGTTTGCTGAACAAACGAATGAATGAGTGAGGGAATTAGTGAAAAGGCGTGGTTGGGAACAAGGCTACTCTGCAGCCCCCTAACTCGGTCCTCCCAGCCACCAGAGGCACGTGTTGTTCAGATGGCTGGTAGGACAGGGGCCGTCTGTGTCTGGGCTGGGCACTAGTTTGCAGCCAGGATTCAGAGTTGGTCTGTGGGTGGAAAGCCATGTTTGCTTCTGCAAGAAGCACGTGGGGGTCGGAACTATGACCTCGGCCTCATTAGCCCTAGATAACTGACCGGGCCTGTTTGTAATCATTTGGAAGGAGCTTAAAGTGGAATCTGTTTCCTTCCGGCGGGCCCTGGCCGTGCTCTCCTGGGGCTGCAGCTGTGCCCGTGGCGGTCCTCTGTGGTTGCTGAAACTCCCCTGTGACCAGAGGCCTCGCTCCCCCACTGATGAAAACCTATTCCTGTGGATATGAAAATGGCCATGAATTATGGTTTCTGCAGCTCTGACTTCTGCCAGCTGGCATTCCTAGCTGAGGCCTGCTGTGGAGAGCTGAGTGGGTGGGTCCCAGGGCCTCAGGTTCCCCAGAGCCTCACCTCACTGCCCTCCGTGCTGCCCTCTGGGCTCACTTGGTCGTCCCTGTCCTCGTATCCAGGCTCCACGTTCCCTCTTCTCTTCCCCACACTCTTTCTTTCTGTGTCTCTCCTCATTCTTCCGTCACAATGTTTTACTCAGCTCTTGGCCCTTAACTCTGATCATGGAGCTATAGGAAAATAGCAATAGGTATTGTTTTTTGAAGGAGACCAATAGGTAAATGTGATCAATGAATGAAAATAATTTAGGGTTTCACCAAACACAACCCCAGGTCAATCAGGACTCCAGACTTGGCTACGCTTAGATGGTTGGAGGAGGAGACAGGGAAGGTCAGAGTGTGGGAAGAGGCAGAATCGGAGAGGACCGTGGAAGGAGACCGAGGGCTGCCTACTCTTTTGGGGGCATCTTGTACCTGCCTATAAGCGAGGGACGGATTCCAAGAGGCCGAAAGTATGCCAGAGCATCTCCTTTCTTGCTTCTCTTATTTCTAGACACTCCTCACCAGCATTTAGGGTATAGCCAAGAGTAGAACCTTTAGCTAATGGAGGGTGCCTGGCACTGTGGTTCATTTGAAACGGCAGGTGTCAAAAGCCAGATCCCAGTGCCTGCTGTTGTGAAAATGCAACACGGTGCCCTCAGTGGTAATACTGGAAATAACCACTAGGTGGAGATCTTGTGCCTTGAAATGCTTCCACTCAGGGCAGTCAACCTGCCTGTGGCAGGGACCGCTGGGTGTGCCTCACTGCCTAGCTCTGGCCCTTTCACGTTTCCCCCACCCTTTCTTTGCATCTGTACTTTGTTTTCCTCACTTATCTGGGTATAATATGGAAAAGCACATTTTCTTTATTGTGTTATTTCTTTTTTTAACATTAATTAATTAATTAATTTATTTTCGGCTGTGTTGGGTCTTCGTTGCAGTGCGCGGGCTTCATTGCGGTGGCTCCTCTTGTGAGGAAGCACAGGCTCTAGTCACGTGGGCTTCAGCAATTGTGGCACGTGGGCTCAGTAGCTGTGGCTCGTGGGCTCTAGAGCGCAGGCTCAGCAGTTGTGGCGCACGGGCCTAGTTTCTCCGCAGCACGTGGGATCTTCCCGGACTAGGGATCGAACCTGTGTCCCCTGCATTGGCAGGCTGATTCTTAACCAGTGCACCACCAGGGAAGTCCGTGTGTTATTTCTGGAATGTATTGAGTCAAGTTTCTGGTCCGATTTCCAATTGGCAAACAGAACTCACAGCCATGTAGGCAGACACCCGTGGGGAGAGACCCGAGCGCTCACTAGGGCACTGGGGCTACGTCTGGCTGAGGGGGGTGCGCTGTTGACTTAGTGTGTGATAAATTCACAGCTGGGCTGGGGTTGGGGCCTCGGGCCACATCTGTCTCCCCGTCCAGGAGCTGCGTTTCCATCTGTCTGTCTGCCAACTGTCCATCCACATGCCCCATTCACCTAATCTGTCCTCCACCCAGCCATGCCCATCCTAACCCCTTTTCCATTTCTTTACACTTCAGAGGAGTCTGCAGGTGTGGTCACGCCTCCTCCAGCCACAGACCGTACGTGCTTTCACCTCCAGGATGACAAGGGTGTGGGCCTTGAGGTTTTTGCTGGAGGGGCGAGGGCGCTGGTTGCCGGGGAATTTTTTGATTTGCCTGAGGTGGGATTGAGATTCCCCACCACAATCCCAGTTTACCTTTGGCTGTTACCTCTCAAACATGGTTGAATATGTAAATTGCTTGGAACGCTTTAAAGGCAATTCCCTCCCACTCTCTAAACCCTTTCCAGAATCTGCTGGGCCCTGGAGCTCAAAAGAGTTTAGTTCTTCAGCAGGGAAGGGGTAGAGCAGGCAGGGGAGTACATGATGAGGCAGGGGCAGTGTAAGGCCTCTTGGGGCCCAGGAGGAGGAGGCCAGGGTGAGTTGAAAACTCCTGAAGTTGAAATTTACAAGGTAAATTATAATCGAGGTGGTTAGTACAGATAATTAGTAATGCTCACAACAGTTCCATCAGGCCTCCCACCCCTGTCCCAAATGCCAGAGCCCAGCATGTGCTGGGGACTGGAGGACGAGTGATGCTGGGTGCAGGGCTCTGGGAGAGGCATGCTCCTGTCTTCTAGTTGGTGATATCTTACTCCTCAGGGATGGGCTCAAGCCCCGGAGCTCACGCCCAGGGTCTGAGCACTCAGAGTTTGCAGTCAGTCCTTGAGTCTGGCTCAAGTACTTCCTTGCTGAGGCCATTTATTTTGTGCCTACCTTGCCCCACCCATGATCTTATGGATTGGAGCATCCCAGATGGTACCTGCTCCTGGGCCCACCTCCCACCTTTGCCATTCTGGAAATGACCTCTTCCTTCCTCTGGAAGGGGCACCCTGGCTTTTCAAGATTCTCAGAATCAGGCCAGTGAAGTCCCATCCTGGGAAACTTGGCTGTCAGTTAGAAAGTCATGACATTAACAAAAGAGAGCCTCCAAAAAAGGATGGAAGTGATGTGGAGAAAAGATCTTCCCTCATCACTCGTGTCATTCTCAAACTCTCCTCCAACTTGCTCCACTGAAATATCGTTCTTTGCACAATGTAAGGAAGGGGAGGGATGCCAGGATGAGTCAAGGCTGTTAGATGGTCTGTCTCAACTTCATAAGGACACAAGGGTGGAGGAGACATGTGCCTGGGGGCTGCCCTGTGTGTGAGGTGGCATCAAGCTGGGCCCCCTCCCTGGCACCTGAGAGATGGAGTCTCTGGTCACCAGGCTCCTGGGCCTCCTTTGTGCCTCCCCGCAGGCCAGATGGCCTGAGACACAGATGTAACTGCAGGATGAGGAGGGCATGCAGGACAGGGTATGGCCTGAGAGGGGCAGGGCAAGGGAGGCCCCTGAGCCCCAGCTTTGCACGCTGGCTGAGTGCATGCGCTTTGAGGTTAGATCATGTTGGGTCGTGCCTCTCTGTAGTCATGTATTCCTGCGCATCTCTTGGCTTCAGTTTCCTCATCTGTGAAACGAGACTAATAAAATCAATGCAAATCTCCACATCACAGCATGGTGGCGAGGATTAAAGGGACGTACGGGAGACAGCTCTCATGGGTGTCACTATCCTTTATACATTTATGGGGGCTGCATCCCATGCATGTGCGAGGAACTGAGGGCTGGGGATGGTCTCCGGCCCGAAGGTGGCTGGGTGGAGTGCTAGAAATCTCGGCTGGGCGGCCCCTCTGATCCGCACCTGTGTCTCCCAGTGGATGACCATCTGGGCTTCCTCCCCACCTTCGGGCCCTGCTATGTCAACCTCTACGGCAGCCCCAGGGAGTTCACTGGCTTCCCGGACCCCTATGCAGAGCTCAACACGGGCAAGGTGAGTCAGACAGGAACCCACAGCCCCCAGAGCCCCAGGCCTGCATACAGGGTCTTCCCCCCCTGGCCTGGGCAGTATCTGCAGTTGGCCTGGACTCCAAGGGCCTGACGGGACTTGAGTGGGCCCAGGGTCTGGCAGCCACCCCCTCAGAGAACCCTTCTTCCCCCTGACCCCCTCCTGGCCCCTTCTTCCCTCCCACTCCCTTCCCTTTGCCTCTCCTTCAGGGCCAGCCTGACCCCCCCCCCCCCTCACCCCCCCAATTTTCCTGGCCTCTGGGGGCCCAGCCTCCATCTGTCTCAGGTTTCATTCTCCCTGGCTAGGTTGGACTCTGGTGCTGACCATCAGGGTGGCATGTCCCATGAACTCTCTGGGCCACCGTTTCCTCACCTGCAGAGTGATGGGGTGTGGCTCAGGGCCCTCCTGGTTGCCGGGGAGGTGATTGACCCCAGGGCCAGACCAGGCTCCTTTCCTTCCCCTCCTCCCCTCCATCGACCGTGCTCCTGGTGACCCAGCCTCCCCTCTCAGGGGGAAGGTGTGGCCTACCGAGGCCGGCTTCTGCTCTCCCTGGAGACCAAGCTGGTGGAGCACAGCGAACAGAAGGTGGAAGATCTCCCTGCGGATGACATCCTTCGGGTGGAGGTAAGGGGCGTGGCCCTGGGAGGGGCCAAGAGGGCGGTGGCCAAGTGGGGCTGGCGGAGGAGGGCTCAGTTCCACCCTCACTCATGTGCCTTCACACCTCTGGGCCTCAGAGTAACCCAACACCTACCCTGCCTCCCTAAGGAATGTTCAGAGGCTCAAAGAAGATAAATGAAGGTTTTTAAAGTCTAGAGCTCAATGCACAATGAGAGGCTATTTTATTAATAATAATAATGTAAGAATAGCTAACCCTTTAATCACTGACTGTGTCACACACTGTGCTGGTGACAGTCTTTTTTTTTTTTTTTACATCTTTATTGGGGTATAATTGCTTTACAATGGTGTGTTAGTTTCTCCTTTATAACAAAGTGAATCCGTTATACATATACATATGTTCCCATATCTCTTCCCTCTTGCGTCTCTCTCCCTCCCACCCTCCCTAGCTGGTGACACTCTTGATGTCACTGAGTCCTCCCAGCACCTCTAGGTGGCTGCTATGAGTATCTCCATTTTACAGATGAGGAGACTGAGGCTCGAATGTAGCAGAGCAGCAAGTGGTAGAGCTGGGCCTTGTGTCCAGGAGACAGCTGTATGGAGTCCTCATGGTTGTGTACACTTTCAGACTCTGTAGTCAGTGCTGGTTTGAGTTCTGACTTGACCACCTATCTGTTGTATCAGTTTCCCTATGTGTAAAGTGGGGGTAATAATTATACTCGCCTCATGAGATTGTTGTGAGAATTAAAGTAATTCATACCTGCATGCAGGAAGCACTCAGTAAGTGTTAGCTGTTAGCACTGTGCACGTTATCTAAAAACCCAGTCGTATAATCCCTCTACTCTCTGCCTTCCACAAAGGGGATCGTAAAGTCATCTTGGTTCAGGCTGGGGTGTGTGGTTGAGTGCCTGCCATGTCCTCAGCCCCGTGCCCGATGCCCGGAGGGGACAATGGTATTCGTTCATCCCACGCACGTGGCAGCGTGCACTGCTGCAGAGCTGGCTGGCATGGTGGAGAGCCTCAGTGGTGCAGGGTGGGTGCTCTGGGTGGGGGCATGGTGGCTTAGAGCCTTCGGCCCCTTCTGAACAGCAGATGCGGGAGCAGGCTCCCCGGGGTGGCGGTGCCATCGCTGTTTGTTTGGATTAAGGAGCAGCATGACCTTGGAGGCATGGACCTTATTAGAGGAACATGGCCAAACACACAGGCCTGGAATGTGTTTGCTCAGTTACTAACCAAATCTGGGCTGTGGGGCAGAGCTGGACCACTCGCCACCCATCCGTCCAGCCAGGATTTATTGGGTGCCGGGCATGGCCAGGGCCTGCGAGACACGTGACCCCTCCCCATGCTGGTGTCTTCTTCCCTCCTCCCCCTGACCCCGCTGCTGCCCTCTCTGCCCCCAGAAATACCTCCGGAGGCGCAAATACTCGCTCTTTGCCGCCTTCTACTCGGCCACCATGCTGCAGGACGTTGACGACGCGGTCCAGTTTGAGGTCAGCATCGGGAACTACGGGAACAAGTTCGACACGACCTGCCTGCCACTGGCCTCCACCACCCAGTACAGCCGGGCGGTCTTTGATGGTGAGGCCAGAGACCACGCGCCTGGCTGGGACCCAGACCACTGAGCAGTGGGCTGAGCCCTAAATCCTGCCCCCTGGGGAAAGCTGCTGGAGGCTCGCCCAAAGGCTCTGGCCCTGGGCACACCTGTTTGGGGGACCCCCTGGTTTGCTTCCCCCCACCCCACCCCCCCACCCCACCCCCGTGCCGCCTTCCCCTGCTCATCTCCAGGTGCATCCCTGCTGGGACCCATAGATTGGGTTCTCGAAACCAGCAGTGGTCAGCATTGATCCTGACTTGTGGCGATCAGTTATCACACGGTGGCTGCGGGCTTGGCATAGAGATTTCGGAGAGTGTGGGATTCCCAGGGCCCTTCTAACAGCCCCTCGGTTTTGATGCGTTAAGGAGCCCTCATGAGGGTGGCAGCTGCCTGTCCCACGTGGGAAGGGAACTCTGGCACCTTGTCTGGGCACTGGGGGATACTGGCCGAGCCGCGGCTATCCACGGGAGTTCTCAGTGGGGGAGCAGGTGCTCGCATCCATCCTCCCCTGGGTCCCCGCACCACTCCGCTCCTGGCTCAGCGCCAGGCCCTTGGGTCCTTCCAGGATGCCACTACTACTACTTACCCTGGGGCAACGTGAAGCCCGTGGTGGTGCTGTCATCCTACTGGGAGGACATCAGCCACAGAGTCGAGGCTCAGAACAAGCTGCTTAGGATCGCTGACCAGCTGGTGAGTGGAAGCCGGCCCCACCCACAATAACCTGTGCGCGCACCCCTGGTGGGTGTCTTCAGACCTGCTTCCGTGGGTGCTAAGCCTGCAGACCTCATGATGCCTGGGGTCCCCTGAAACCTGACCAGGCCGGGCTTGTGATCCTGTCCTGCCTACTGGGAATAGAGGAGAGGGAGGGAGCACAGCCCTGGGGGTGCCCCCAGTCTGATGTAGGAGATAGCACAGAGAAAAAGCTGAGAGGAACTGAGCTGGGAGCAGAGGACAGAGCCACCGCCCATTCCTTCCTTCCTTCATTCGTTCATCAAGTGCCTTTGACTCTTGCCACAGCAAGAATTGTGCTGGGAACTTCTAGCTAGAGGGTAGACATGAACAGCTGCTGCCCCTGTCTTCACGAGTCAGCCTAGAGTCAGCTTAGTAAAGCAGAGTGTAGGTTCACCCACCCCTCTCCTGCAGAGACTCAAACTCACATTCTGCTCCAGGAGTCCCTAGGGAGGGCGGCTCGGAGGGGAGAGGGACCAAGGAGCATCAGGAAGGCATCGCGTGGCGGCAGGGGGGCCGCGTCCAGTGAGGGGAGTTGGGAGCTCGTTAGGATGTCCTTGCAGGGGTCCAGGGGAGGATGATTGGGCTCTGGGAAGGAGCTGACCTCAGGGAAAATACTGAAGGACTTGAGCTGCCAGGACTTGGTGGTCTGTTGAATTGGGGGCTGTGAGGAGGGACTCCGGTGACTGGGGAATTGGGAAGCTGGGGAGAAGAACAGGGTCTACGAGGTCAGGTGATGAGTCCTGTCTTGGATGTGGCCGGGGGTTAATGGTGGAGGCTGGGAGTTGCAGGCCTGGTGCTTGGCCAGGGAGCGGAGGAGAATCAGAGTGGGCAGAGGTGTAGAGGCCAGGGTGAGGCGATCCTGGTGGTGGTTCCCAGCCCCCTCTGTGTGTGCCTGGGGTGGAGGCTCACCCGCGAGGTGTGTGGCCCGTGGGGACATGGGGAGGCAGGCGTGGCCATGCTGCTGGGGCCTGCGAGGGGCAGCAGGGTGGAGGGAAGGGGGTTGGAGAGGCTTGGGCAGGTGGAGGAGGGAAAGGGAAGCGGGGGTGGGGATTTTAGAGTGGCTGGGGGGGGGGGATGCAGGCCCCAGTCAGGGGCCGTGGTGAACCACACTTTCCCTGAGACCCAGAGCTCTGTGGCAGGGAGGGGACCAGCCGATACCTGGTTTGGGAGAACTCGGAGTCGATGCTGTGCAAGTCCAGCATCTTCTGGGCCAGCTGTTCTCTCCAAGCCGTTCCCTGCGGGCAGGGGTTCGCTGATCCTTCCAGGGCCTGTCTGTGCCCAGCATGGTGGTCCCAGGGTGGAGCACACGGCACACGCTCAGGAAGGTTGAGGTGGGGAAGGGTGTGGGGGGCTGAGGGGCAAGTCCTTGGCCTGAGGGGTGTCCCATGAGAGATCTCTGCCTCCCAGCTCAGGCCTGAGGCCCAGGAAGGAGAGCTCCATGGAGGAGACCAGGTGCCACTGGGGTACAACCTGGCCACAGGAGTTTGGAGAGGGCAGCCCCATTACTGCAGGTTGTCTGAGCGCTCCTGAAGGAAGGAGGAGGGACCCAAGCCTGCTTGGGTAGCAGGACTTGGAAAGGAGAGAGGGTGCCGGGGCGGGGGGAAGGGGAGCCGGCTCCAAGGTCACTTACCTATGAGACCTTAGACCTGGCTTGACGGGGACCCGTGGAGAGCCCGTGGGGTGGGCGTCCCAGGCTTGGGAATTTGGATCTGTTTGGTGTGGGGAATCCTGGAAGCTTCTTGAGCCAAGACAGATGCTGGTTTGTGGGGTCTGGGCTCTGCCTTCTCGGCTCTAACCGTTCTCTCTTTTTGGTGGGACCGGGCTGTGGTGACATTGCCTGGGGTTAAGGGTCTGTCCCACGGTGACCCTCCCAACCCCTGCCCGCCCGTTCCACAGGAAGCCGGCCTGGAGCAGGTCCACTTGGCCCTGAAGGCTCAGCACTCTGCCGAGGACGTGGACTCCCTGGTGGCTCAGCTGATGGATGAGCTCATTGCAGGCTGCAGGTACGGGGTGCCTGGCACCCACGCGCCCTCCCTTCCTGGCTCGGCCGGGCCCTTTCCCCGGGAGCGTTCGTGTGTGGCGGTGAGCGACTGCACGTCTCCCCAGCCGTGCTTGGCCAGCAGTCCAGCCCATGCTGAGTCCAAAGGTGGTGGAGCCAGCGCGGGGAGTTGAAAAGGTGACATTTAGAGCAGGTCATAAATCTCCCTGCAGCGACGGCAGCTGTGGGCCCGCCGGGGCGGCCAGGCTCACCTGAATGGGGAGCATTGTGTCTCTGATCCCCAGCCTCTTACTTCTCTGATGGAATCTCCAGGAGGAGCTGGCTGGTGGGAGTGACGGCACCCCTCCTTCCCCCAAGGCCATGTTGGGGACCACAGTTTCTGTTTAGCCTTGTATTAACACGGCTGATTGTCACCTTCAGGAAAAGGGGGCGCTGGGGGGTGAAGGAGAATGGGGGTCCTCCGGGTCCCGGGGCCCTGGCAGAAGGGGGAGCGTCTCCTCTACAGCTGGGTGATTTGGAGCTCACCACTCACCTGCTCTGAACCTTGCTTTCCTCATCTTCAACCTGACATTAAGAATAACTGCTTTATAATATCACACAAGCAAAATGCCTGGTCCTTAGGAAGTATTTAATAATCTCATCCCATTAACCACCTTTGTGGCTTTGGGCAACTTCACTTCTCTGGACCTCAGTTTTCCCAGCTATTAAATGGACTTAATAATAAACAGGCCTCTTTCTACTTTCTATGGGATTAAGCGTAAATATATGCAAATGTATTCTATGCCCCCTCTAAATCTTATCATCCCAGCCGCTGTCGGGAATGCATGAGAAATGCCTTCATGCTGCAAATCAGGAATCCGTGACCCTGGCTGCCTGCCACAGTGCCGCTCTGGTCCTTTGTACCCCAGTTGGGAAGTGCACCTTTATCAGAAATGACCCTGCCTCAAGCCCTCCTGGGGGTGATGAGGCAGAAGTGAGCAAATGAAAGAAAGTGTGTTAGGGGCTTGAGGCGTGTGCCCTAGTAGCTCAGAGCAGGTGCATCTCACGCAAATCAAAATCGGAGACGCTTCCTGGAGGAGGGGACGCCCTACGTGAACTCCGGGGGGGAAGGAGTCAGCCTTTGGAGAGCGGACTGCCGGGCACAGACGCAGGAGCCCAAAATGCCTGCTGCCTCCTGGGGCTGCAAGGGAAACTGCAGTCCAGAGGCGACAGACCTCCAGGGTTTGCTAAGGCAAGCTCAGCCCTGGGGGCTGTTGGGGCACAGGGATCCCCGGGATTCAGACGCTCACTCTTGCTGCAGCGTAAGAGGTGGGCTGGGGGTGGTGATGAGGGGCAACTGGACGAAGCCTTCACCCAAGGCAGGGACGTGGGGACGTGGGGTGAGAGAAGCAGAGGGCAGCGTGGACTCTTCAGGAGGCATCATGGTGGTAACAGCCTCATAAGGAACACTCGCTGTGCCAAGTGCTGTTCTGAGAATTTCACATGTATTAGCTAATCATAAAAATCTCATGAGGTAGGAAGTAGAATGATCCACATTTTACAGATGAGGAAACTGAGGCATGGAGAGGTGAATTGCCCAGATTCATGCCTCTAGTAAGGGGCTGAGCCCCCTCGCTGTGCTGCTCTGTACTAGACAGGCTTTGATGGTGGATTGAGTGTGAGGGCCCAAGGAAGGTCCAGAATGATTCCCTGGCTCTGGCCAGAGCAGGTGGATGGAGAGCAGAGCCGCTTCTGGAGGGAGTCAGCAGGAGAAAAGCAGGTTTGGGGGAGGATGAGGAATTCAGGGCTGGCCGTGTTGAGTGGCAGGTGCCTGTGGGCATCTGTGGTCTGGAGGTCAGAGGTCAGAGCAAGGCTAGAGGGGCACACGGGGGTGTGGTCAGCAGAGGGGGCTGCCGATTGACTGGCTGTGCCCCACTGCCCGGCCTGACAGCCTCAGGTGCAGAGGGTGGGCCCCGGCTCTCGGTTCACTGCGCTCTCCTTGTGACTCATGCGTGGTGTGGGCCTTGGTGGGTCTGAGGTGCCTGAAACATCTGAGATGGGTGGGTCCCAGGTCCTGGGCTGTCACTCCGCTCTCTCAGGGCTCTGTTCTTGGCGGACTTGGCTAAAAATGTTTATGCCAAAGCCTGGTCCCCTTGAATCATTCTCCTGGGGGTAGACGGTGGCCAGGGCCCTCCTGGGGAGCCCGGGTCCCAGGTCAAGGGCTTGTGAGGAGGGTCCCATCCCCTCAGGAGTGCACGCATGGCTCTCTGGGGAGAACGCTGGGCCTCAGGACCAGTTCCTTTGGCACCACCTGAGGCCACTAATGGCCCTGGGGCCGCAGCAAGAGAGCTTCCACCCCCGCCCCTGGCCGGCTCTGTGCTGGGCGTCACAGCTGATAGCAGGGCAGCTGGGCATGGGGGACGTGAGCCAGCTTGCCACAGATGACCTGGCTGCTCACCCATTCCTCCAGCCAGCCCCTGCCCAACATCCAACATCAGTGTCCTTCATTTGGTCAGACCCCTCCCTGCCTCATCTCCCTGGGAGCCCCTCTCCCCCTGGCCAGTGGCGCCCACTCTTTTCTTCCGGATCAGCCTTCTCCTCTCATCTCTCAACCCATGGACCCAACTACCAGCTGCACACCTCCACCTGGGTGTCCACCAGCACATCCAATTCATTCTCTGTGATCTTCCTAAAACGGTGCGGTGCCGCTTCCACTTCAGCCCTGCGGCGGCTCCTGTTGCCTTTAGGAAAAGCTGCAGCTCTCCTCTGATGGATGGGCCTCTCTGTCCCCACTGCCTGCCTTTTGGACCTCAGTAGTCTTACCCTCTAGCCCTTCGGAGCCTCTGTGCTGGCTCACCCCCCAACCCCACCTCCCTCCAACCAACGCCCACCTGCCTCTGAGCCTTTGTCTTGTGCACATACCGCTCCTCTGGCCAGAACACCCTTCCTGCTCTTCTTGGCCTCACTAGCTCCCGCTGGCCCTGCCAGTGCAGCTTGAGGCCACTTCCTCCAGGAAGGGCTCCAGACCCTGAGGCTGCTCAGGGGGATCTAGCTTGCTTGCTTGTCTGTTCCAGGGGCTCCCTGAGGGCAGGCCTGGGTCTCATCCCTGGACCCAGCCTCCAGCCAGGACCAGCAGAGCTGTTGCTCGTGGGGAGTGAAATGAATGAGCCAGCGGCCAGTTTATCTTTCAGGCAGGACACTGTCCGCTCCCAGGCGGCTGTCCCTGTTAAAGGCACCCACTCACCTCAGGGGCAGGCAGCAACCTTGTGAGCAGCCCAGCTCTGCTCCCAGCCTATGCTGAGCCCTGCCTTGGGCCCGCCTGCCATTTCCGAGTCAGCCAGGGTTGGCAGGGCGACTGCCGCTGCTTGGGGTTGGGGCAGTGTCATCCAGCCTCCTCTTCCAGGTCTCCTTTTCTTTCTGTACCCTGTTTTGGGCTTTTTGGGGTGAGAAAGGGCTGAGACATCTTGTTTGTGGCAGTTACAGGTCCCGGCTGTTTCTTGGGGAGTCTTGGCTGGGCTGGTAGCCTCCATGAACATCTCCCTCTGGTGGTCTGCCCGGCAGTCCCTCTCAGCTCCTGACCCAGGCCGGGAGCATAAATCACCCTGGTTGGCTTGCCTCCCCATCTCCCATTCCAGACCCGCCTGCCCCCACACTCAGGCCCACTCACGCCTCCTTCCCTGCAGGCCCAGCCCAGGACTCTGGCCCAGGCCCCCCCTTCACCCACCGAACATGCCCCTCCGCCGCGTTCGAGCGGGCTGGGGATGGAGGCCGCCCTTCTCCTGGCCTGGGGCAGCCCCATCCGAGGCACCCTCGGGGCAGTAAATATTATATTACTACGGGGTGTGCAGTACGTGACCTGAGACAGGCCTCGGGGCTTAAGTTTCCCGAGATGGAGTTTGCGTACTGCTCCCCCCACCCTAAAAATTCAATTAAAAAAAATAACAGGAAAAATGTAGAGCGCCGAGGGCCTGCCAGAGTGGTGTATCTGGCGGCGGCGGTGCCGCTGCACTCGGCGGTAATTGGTTCTGCATAGCTCGGGGAAATTGGCAGAAAAATAAATCAGCCGGGAGCCGGGAGCCGAGACACTGTGGGGCGGGGAGCGTGAGGTGGGGCAGCAGATGTGGCGAGCGAGCGGGCCTGACTGATGTCCTGTTTGGGAGTCAGGGGCTTAGCGGGGTGGGGGTGGGGGTGGGGCAGCCCCCCTACCCTCCAGCAGGGATGATCTAGAGGGTCCTGCCTGGCGAGGAAGAGCACAGACGCCCCCTCCCACCCCACTCCATCCCGTGTGACCCTTGCGTGTGCACTCACTGGCCCTGGGGCTTCGTATGGCCAGGGCCAGCCACATAAAGGGCTTTTAGGGAGCCCGGAGAGGGAGCCCATCCTTTGGATGGGGGTGGTCAGAGCTCTTCGCCTCTAAATGGGGTTGAGTTTAAACCCAACCCCCTGACTGGAGGCTTAAGGCTGTGTTTCTGGGACTGCGTGTACCCCCAGCTCCTCTCCAGAGGCTTCCCAAAGCAGAGGGTTCTGGGAGGGGTGTTGTGCGGCCGCCCTGGGTCGACACATCTGTACTGCTGGCTGCCGGCCTCCCCACAGCGTCTGCAGTGGCTTGTCAGGGCTCCATAAATTTCCTTCTTGAAGAACGTGTGCGTACAACAGAATGGATTCGCTTCAGCCAAAGGCAACTTAGTGCTTGCGCCTCTGCTCTAGGAGGGCGCCGGGGGGAGGGAGGGACCCACTGGGCCTCTGGGGACGTGCACTCAGGTGGGCAGAGGGGACTCACGACTGGAGGCTTGAGGATAGGTTCCAGACAGGCAGCCCCAGAATAAAGGGCTGGGGCGCTTCAGAGTGGGGGGCACACTGGCCAGTGTGGCTGCAGCAGGCTTCCTGGAAGAGATGGCTGGAGGAGGCACCCAGGGCACACGCCGCAGCCAGCAGGCAGGCTGAGGGTGTGAGACCCGTTGGGGGGGGCCCGTGCACACGTGTGTACGTGCTTGCCTGCACCTGGGCCTGGGCGAGCGCCGGGCTCCTGCTCGTCGGGGACATCCCGTCTGTCTGTCCGTCACAGCCAACCCCTGGGTAATGTTCAAGAGACGCCCTCCGCCACCCACCTGGACCACTACCTGTACCGCCTGCGCACCCGTCACCTGAGCCAGATCACTGAGGCGGCCCAGGCCCTGAAGCTCGGCCACAGTGAACTCCCCACCGCCCTGGAGCAGGCTGAGGACTGGCTCCTGCGTCTCCGTGCCCTGGCAGATGAGGTAGCTGCCCCTGAGAGGTGCCTTCCTTCCTGCCTGGAGTGTCAGAACTGGGAGGGATGTGGGGAAGGTCTGGACCATGATCCACACTGGCTCCACTGCTGGGTAACCTTGGGCAGGTGACTTAACGTCTCTGAGCCTCCGTGTCCCCATTCACAGAAGGAGGACAGAGGATGCAATGGGATACTGGGTGTTGTAGGGCCCAGCAGAGCCTGGCGTTTAGTAGGTGCTCGATAAATGCCCCCAAATGTGCTCGATAAATGTGCTTAATAAATGCTGCCAAAGTACGTCAGAGACAGAGCTGGGACCAGAACCGGGGCTCCCGGCTCTAGGTTCAGTGCCAGGGGCTGCTCCCACAGGGGCCCAACTCCTTCTGCCCACCAACCTGTCTACCCCTGGCCTCAAACCTGCCTCTCATGGGACCCTGCATTTCCTGCCCTCCTGGATATCCTTGAGCCCCAGGCCTGAGGAGGCTGCACCTGCAGTAACTCTGCATCTATACCCTGACCCCTCTGCCCCTATCCAGCTCTGCAGGGAAGTAGGCAGGCCGCAGACTTGTCCAGAATGAGGAGGAAGGTCTGCTCATATGTCACAGGTGGACACAGCTGCCACCTACCCTGGCCAGAGCCACCTGGGACCCCCGGGGAGAGGGATGGTGAGGAAGGATCTCCCCAGAAGGAGTGTGCAGAGAAAGGCAGGGCCTGCGAGTGGCTTCTGGAGGAGTGACTTGTTGAAGGGGAGAAGGGAGTCCAGGAGGTGGAAGGGGTGCTCAGGAGGGGAGGCAGCCTGAAATGTTGGTCCCTGAGAGTCAGCTTTGGCTCGTCCCCAAGCGGGGCCTTGGACGTGTGGCCGGTTACCCGGGGGCCCCTGTGTTGCTCAGCCCCAGGACGACCCCTGGCAGTGGCTGTGGACCATCCCTTTGGGAGGGTCACAGGCTGTCTTCCATGTCTTGGCCCAGACCCCGGAACTCTCACGCAGATTGTGTTATGGCTGGGAGTGGTTAAGGTGAAACGGGTGCTATGGACTGTGAGGGAGACCGGAGAGAGCCTTTCTCAAATTTGAGTGTGCATCAGAATCCCCCGAAGGCCTTGTTAAAACTGGGTACAAGCCCCACCTGATCCCGCATGTCTGGGACGGGGCCTGAGAATTTGCATTTCCGGTGAGTTTCCAGGTGGTGCTGCGGCTGCTCTGGGGACCACACTTTGAGAACCCTTGGTATCGTGGTTCGAAACACACATTTGGAATCAGAAAACCCTAGTTCCTAACTTCTTTGAGCCTGAATTTCCTCACCTGTGCCTGCCTCTGGGCTTGCTGTAGGGATGAAGGGACACAGCCCAGGAGGTGTTGAGGGAGTGTGCCAGCCATCAGCTCTCAGCAGGAGCCTGGCTTCGAGACCCAACCCTGCCCCGCTGACCACACTGCTCGGCAACCTTGGGAGAAGATGGACTTAGCCAACTGGCCGCCTCTCCTGAATGTGGCAGCTGGGAGCAGTTCTCACGCCTAGAGGCTCAGAGGGGCTCAAGGGCCCTGCAGTCTGGGCTAGTCCCCATTTTCAGAGCCCAGTGTCAGCAGGCCCAGAAAAGGGCCAGACCCCCAGGGTCCCCGCTGTTAGAGGGAGGAGGGATCGTGTGTCCTTTGGGAAGGCGCACCCCTTCTGTGGATTCACTTCTGCTCTCAGGGGTGAGGAAGGAGGCGGCACCTTAAGTGCAATGTCATCTCTAGGGTCAAATCAGATCCTCTGATGTTTCCCCACCGGCAGCCTCTATCTACCCACCCAGTGGAGGGGATCTAAGAACTTGGGGCTCCAGGAAGGAGTGTCTCTTCCTAGAAAACGTGAACGCAGCTTAGTGAATTCCTGGCGGGCTCCTCGTGTGAGCCGGGGGCAGCCTGTCACCCTATCCCTGGGGGCTCAGAGCTACTGAAGACAGGGGTGCCCAGCCAGCCCTGGGAGGTCAAGGGGGTGGCTGGGGGTGGGAGCTGGGAGGAGAGGCCTGGGGAGAGGGGGCTGAGGGTGTGGGCTGGGCGGTACCATCTCCACCCTGACTGCCACCCTCTCTCCAGCCCCAGAACAGCCTGCCTGACATCGTCATCTGGATGCTGCAGGGTGACAAGCGGGTGGCGTACCAGCGGGTGCCCACCCACGAGGTCCTCTTCTCCCGACGGGGCACCAGCTACTGTGGCAAGAATTGTGGAAAGCTGCAGACGATGTTTCTGAAAGTGGGTTGTTTCTCCTTAAGTCATGGTCATACTTTGTCGCCCCCAGGGTGGTCCGCACCCCTTCTGTTTCCCCTCCTGTTCTCTGTCAGACTCCGAGTTTTTAGATTCTGCTCTTGGAAGGGACCAAGGGCCTGCATAAAAAGACTTCCCTTCTCCCCTCTCCCCACAAAGTCCCTAGACCCCATGCACCTGGTCTGGAAAGGGAGCAGGTGAGAATTGGAACCAGGGGTGCTGGGAACGAAGGAGGGGCTGACTCCCGAGGCTGTGCTCCCCTCCAGCCAGCTCCCTGGTGGGGGGCCTCAGCCCTCAGCTCCCACCGCCAGCCTTTGGGAGCCCGGGCACAGACTTGCCTCCCCCCTCCCACCTCCCGAGGGTTTGGCTTCAGGTGGAGTCACACGTGGGTTCAGGTTCCTCCCTGGGGGAAGGCTGGTGTCTGGGCACCGGCTGTGCCTATGGCTCTGCTCCATCAGAGATCTGGGAGCAGGTAATCCTGTCCCTCCAGTCACCCCACTCCACCTCTCCTGCCCTTTGTCCTCCCGCCATCTTCTCTCAGCCTTGGGGGGTGGGTAACAGGGAAGTGAGCAGGTGCCTGGAGGTCCCCGTCCTCCTCTCTGGGTTCATGTGGGGACACAGAGCCCAGGCTGCTTGGTCGGGACAGAATTCGGGGAAATCTGAGCTGTGGCTGTCGCGGCCCAGGGGAGCGTCCCGTGGGGAGGGCCGTCCCTCACCATGCATGGCTGACTCCAGATGGCTCCGCCGGCATCGTAAACTGCCTGGCCTTCAACCCTCTCTCCCCACGTGTCTCTTCCCATCCACACCAGGACCTCCTTCCATCTCACCTCTTCCACGAAGTCGCTGTGGACTAACCTTAGCCTCGAACCTCTGAGTGGCTATTGGTCGACCCATTCGTACACCGATCAGTCATTCTTGCTGCCCCCTGAGGTGGGCAGAGGAGACAGGTTTCAAAGGCCCGGAGCGTGTGGACAGGTTGCAGGGCTGGCTGGAATCCTGTGTGGTCTTGGGCAGATTGTCTAACCTCTCTGAATGCTTTTTTCCCACCTATAAAACAAAGATCAGGCTGCCCTGATCACAATTTTGAGGATGGAATTAGGTAACACAGGTCAAGGGTCTGACTGGAACTAGGTGATCAATGAATATCAGTTTTTTTCTCCTCTTCTCCCTTTTTCCTTCTGGGGAGAGGAGGCTCTACCAGCACCATGACTGGAGGCCAGCGCAGGGCCAGGGATGATCAGATATCTGCGTTTGGGTCATTGGTACTTCAGAGGAGAGCCGGCTTTGCCTAGAAAGAGGGCGGGGGTGTCAGGCAGCGGGCTGCCCCTCCCACCTCAGGGCATGTTCCTCGTGAGATCCTAACCTCGGGGCATGTTCCTCGGGGCATGTTCCTCGTGCGATCCTAACCTCCTAGCATCCTGCTTTCCTCCCTCCCAAGCCAGCTCCTTGCCTGGTAGGGCAGATGGGAGAGGAAGTCAAGGAGCGGTCACATCTGAATGGGGATAACTAGGGAGGGCTGTCAGGCTACAGTGGAGGTGGGGCTGCAGGAGTGGGCCTGGTGGATGCCGGTGAACGGGATCGGTCTCTGACCTCTTGGCCCTGCAGCCTCAGGGAAATGCAAACTGAAAAATTTCCCTGATCCCAAGCAAGGAAAAAAAAAAAAGATATAGGATTGTTTCTCGAAGTCTTCCCCACTGAGTTTATGAGCCCCGCCAGTAGCTCCTGAGCAAGCTCTACAAAAATGTTGGCAGCAAGCAGAGACCAAGAAAACATTGGTGTTTCTTAACTTAAACCAAAGTTGGAAAAAATGAGCACCAGCAGAGAGGGAGAGGAGCCCCAAACTAGACATTTCTTTATTTGCTGTTGCTATTTTGGGTCCAGCAGGCTGGCCCTGTCTGGGGGAGGGCAGGGGAGAGACTGGGGGCGGAGGGAGAAGGGGGTGGTCAGGCATTCCTGCCATCTCCCTGGGGCTGGTGGTTTGGAGGGGAAAAGGCTGCTAACCACCCCAAGGGAGAGGACACTGAAGCGAGCATCCATGGGGAGGTTTCTGGGGGTTGACACTTGGGGTCAGGGGCTCCTCCAGGCTTCACCGAGGATGAACCAAAGGCAGAGAGGCTGGATGAAGGGTGAGACTGTTAATGCCTTGCCATGACACCCCTTCCTGACCCTCTTACCCGGCCTGGGCTCTCCCTCCGGGGATCCGGGCCTCCTCTACCAGTTAGAGAGCCCTTACCTCAGCCTCCCTCTCCTCCTCTGAACCCACCAAGACTTTCTCGTCTCATTCAGCTCCACGTCCCAGAGGAGACACTCCTCTAAGCTCACACACATGAAGCCTGGGTAGTTAATGTATTACTTCCTCTAAGGAGCTGTGTGTTATTCTAAAAGTGAGGCATTTCTGCTCTTCAGGCCCATATCTGACCCTTGATTTCAGTCAAATGGTGAAGCAGTTGTGGAGAATAAATTTTTTATGTTGGGTTGTTGTGGTTATTCCATTTTGGCAGAGCTTCTGAAAGTTTCAGGATAAAAAGCAGTTGAAGACCAGTGAATAGTGGTTAACAGACTGATAAGCACTTAAAAGGGTAGGGATATCAGATGATACACTAACATCCAGCCAACCCCCCCCCAAAAAAAACAAACTGAAAACGAAGGGAGAGGCTTTAACCTCCTCCCCTTTCAGACCTTTCTATCTCTCTTTTTTTAAAAAAAATTAATTAATTAATTTATGTTTGGCTGCCTTGGGTCTTCGTTGCTGCACGCAGGCTTTCTTTAGTTGCTGTGAGCGGGGGCTACTCTCATTGCAGCACGCGGGCTTCTCATTGCGGTGGCTTCTCTTGTTGCGGAGCACAGGCTCTAGGTGCACAGGCTTCAGTAATTGTGGCTCGTGGACTCTAGAGCGCAGGCTCAGTAGTTCTGGCGCATGGGCTTAGTTGCTCCGTGGCATGTGGGATCTTCCTGGGCCAGGGCTCGAACCCGTGTCCCCTGCGTTGGCAGGTGGATTCTTAACCATTGTGCCACCAGGGAAGCCCAGACCTTTCTATCTCTTATAAAGACATGTTCTAGAACTGCACCATCGAATATGGTAGCCATATATGGTTATTTAAATTTAAATTAATTAAATAAAACTAAAAATTCAGTTTCTCAGTCACACCAGCTACATTTTAAGGGCTCAGCTGCCACATGGGGTTAGTGCATTGGACTGTGCAGATATAAACCATTTCCACTGTAGCAGAAAGTTCCATTGGACAGTGCTATTCTAGAAGAGAACAGAAATGAGGATGTGGTGGGAGAGGGGAGAATGGGGGCTCCCGGTCTAGACATGGCTCGTCTCTGCAGAGAGCATCTAGATGGGGAGGATGCAGTCTTCTCCTCTGATGGGAAGGAATCTTGGCCGGTGGGGGCGTTTCTTAGTCATACACCCCTCTTCCATGAAATTCTAAGTCCTCCAACAGAGCACATACCTGATGGGGTGTCAGGCTGGTATGCTCAGGCCTGGAGGCTCCCCCAAGTCGAGACATACTGACCCTGAAGGGGACTGTGGGTTTCTCTCCTTCTCTGCTACCCAGTATCCAATGGAGGGGGTGCCCGGAGCCCGGATGCCAGTTCAGATTCGGGTCAGGCTCTGGTTCGGGCTCTCTGTGGATGAAAAGGAGTTCAACCAGTTTGCTGAGGGCAAGCTCTCCGTCTTTGCTGAAACCGTGAGTGCCTGACCGCCTGCCCACCCTACCCCTGGCCCCAAAGCTACCGCAGCCCCACTCACTTCTCTGTTGCTCACTCTCCAGTATGAGAACCAGACCAAGCTGGCTCTGGTCGGGAACTGGGGCACAACGGGCCTCACCTACCCCAAATTTTCTGACGTCACGGGCAAGATCAAGCTACCGAAGGAGAGCTTCCGCCCCTCAGCTGGCTGGGCCTGGGCTGGAGACTGGTTCGTGTGTCCAGAGAAGACGTGAGTTGTGGACAGGGAGGGCTTGGGGACCCCGTCTGCCCCAGCCATTTTTCTGAAAGGGCCTCGGCTCTATTCATCCCTCTGTCTACGGCCGCTGCCCCTACGCTGGTCATAGCGACTTCCATTTGAACTCTCCCGGGACTGGGGGATCACGAGGCAGCATTCTTTTCTGCAAGGGCTCTAATGATTGGAAAGTCCTTTATGATTGAACCGAAGCTGGCCTCCAGTGGGCTTTGCGTCCACTGGTTATGGCCTTTTCCTCCAAGATACCACAGAAAGCCCGCTCCCTTCTCTGCGTGTTAATCCCTCCTTTAGTGCCCCTCAGAACAGCCTCGTTCGTCCTTCTCCATCTGCATCGCCATCTCCGCCTCCTTCTCCTCTCTCTCTTTTCCAGTTCGGTTGATATTCAACAACTGTTTGTTTGGTTTTTCTTTTTAAAAATTGAAGAGTAACATATATTGTAGTCATGTACTCAAATCTTAAGTATATAGCTCGATAACATTTTACATTTCTACAACTATCTATTGAGCTTCAACTACCCACCGGGTTTTTGACGTCTTCAGTTGGCTTCCTTTTCTCTTTCTTTATCTTGGTGGTGACTTTCTCTTCTGTCTGCAAGTGTCTCCCTGGGTCTCCCCTTGACTCGCTGCCCCTCCTCTCTCTCCCCTCATCTCTCTTGTTGTTGGTTGGGGTGAGGCTGACACAGGAAGGTTGGCCCAGGCTCTGGGGTGCTCTGCTGGGGGTTGTGGACGGCCCGGGGGGTCTCTTCGGCGGAAGCTCTGACCCGCCCCCGCCCACAGCCTGCTTCATGACACCGACGCGGGCCACCTGAGCTTCGTGGAGGAAGTGTTTGAGAACCAGACCCGGCTCCCCGGAGGCCAGTGGATCTACATGAGCGACAACTACACGGACGTGGTAAGGGGGTGCTCTTGGGGCAGGTGGGCTCTGCTTTCCTGGAGGCCTGGACATTTGGGCCCAAGAGGGGCCTGTGACTGAAAGAAGAGGAATGTTCTCCCCTGCTCCCACGTCCCCAGCGTCCATGCCCTGGTTTCCAGGGGGACAGTGTGTGAGATCTGGCAAGGGTAGGACACTGAGCCCGAGTCACACCTGGGGCTTTAGAATATATGTTGTCAGGTTGCATCTTCTCATCTTCCCTGATCACGTCTGTCTCTTCTCATGCTTGCCTGGCCTGTGTTACCCCAGAACGGGGAGAAGGTGCTTCCCAAGGATGACATCGAGTGCCCGCTGGGCTGGAAGTGGGAAGATGAAGAGTGGTCCACGGACCTCAATCGGGCCGTTGACGAACAAGGTGGGCGGCACGTAGAGCCCAGTGAGCACCCGGCAGACTCGCGAGGCATGCCGGAAGGGGGCACGGTTGAGTGCAGGCCCCTTGGGCCTGGGGTTCTGGCCTTCACTGGGCTACTTCATCTGGGGGACTTCCTGGATGAGTCCTCACTATAAACTACAAATTGGGAGTCAGTGGCCACGTGAAGGTCTGTGAACGTTCCCCAAATGGAGAGATGGGGAATAGCCAGGCAGTGAGTGATGGTCACCTCTCCCCCAGGCTGGGAGTACAGCATCACCATCCCCCCGGACCGGAAGCCGAGGCACTGGGTCCCTGCTGAGAAGATGTACTACACACACCGTCGGCGGCGCTGGGTCCGCCTGCGCAGGAGGGACCTCAGCCAGATGGAGGCGCTGAAGAGGGTGAGCCCAGTCGGTGGGGGGGAGGGTGGGGCATGGGTAGGGGTGAGGCCCTGGGGAGGGGAGGCCAGCTGGGCACAGGTGCACACCTCTGTGCAGGGGACATGTACAAGACACACGGGCTCACTCGAGATGCTCGCAGATCGCACCCAGCACTCACACAGATGCACACGGACAGAAAACACCCAAATGCCCATGACCAAGCAAGGGGATGCACTTGGACTTCACGCACAGACCTGGAAGGTGCAAAGGCATATCTAGAGTGTGTCTATGGCTAGGTGTCCGAGGGGCAGAGTCTGAGACAGGGACTCGGCTGCATGCAGTTTATTGAGGCAGTACTCTCAGAAGTGCCAGGAGCAAGGATGTGGCCTCCGGCAAAGTCAGCTTTGGCTTGAGCTGTGGTTCGGGAAGGGGCTCAGCCTGGAGCGCCACAGAATCCTCCTCACCAGGCAAGGGGGGCGGGCTTAGTACGGTCTTAGCCGTCAGTCATTGGCTGGGGGTTGCTGGGGGCGTGCTGGAGGGAGCCTGTTCCCTCCAGCATGGCCAGTTCCCTGGAGAAGGGCGATGCTGGTCAAGGGGCTTGGGTGGGCTTGGTCAGCATTTACCAGAGGGCGTGTACACAGTGTAAGCACACATGCCCACGGCCGTGCCCAGATACTCTTGGGACACAGACAGGTGCAGAGTGAGCTTGTGTGGGCACATGAGTGCCTGTACCTGCTCCTGGGGTCACACAGATGCCTGTGTCGTGCACAGCCTCAGGGCCTGCCTCCCTGGAACCCTCTTGGCCTGCGTCCTTCCTTCCCAAGCGCACGTTGGAATTTTGGCTCGAGAACTAGGCCTCCCCCAGTCCGGGAATAGCCTTTGGCATGACCCGAGTCCCTTCCTCTCTCTCTGGTCACAGTGAATCTAGAGAGGAAGGTCACTGGGTCCCAGGAGAGGCAAGGCTTTTGGGCAGCAGGCTGTTCCTGGTGGCATGAACCAGACTCCACTCTCCCTGTGAGGGCACCCAGGGGACAGAGGCAAAGCCTTGCCAGGCGGTGTGCCTTGCCTGCTCCCTCACCACCAGCATCGTTCCTGGAGAGGGACGCAACTGGCCTCCGGGACCAGGACTGTCACCGAGCTTATGGCCTGGGCCTGACCTGAGGATCATCTCAGGTCACGAGGTGGATGGGAAGGGGCTTCTGGGGCTCCCCCAGCCTGGGAAAGGACCCCTTGAGAAGAAGTGCGGGGGTCTCTCCACACTGACGTAGGCCTAGCCTCGTGGAGAAACAGCCTGGGGCTGGGAAACGGGCTCTTCATTTTGCCTCTGAATTGCAGACCCATTTCCACTTTTATAAGTTGGGATATGAAGAAGAAAAAGGAAATGACAAGAAGACCTTGGATTCGTGAAATCCGCCCGGAATCCAAATAAGCAAACAAGCCGAAAGCCTAGGGAGCCTCTTCTCCCCCTGATTTCCTGACCCGGGGCTCTTGTCACTGCAGAAGCTGCTCAGAGCCCCCTCCTCCGGGCGGCCCTCCCAGGTTTTCCCACCTGGAGGGTGATGGTGTGGGGTGTGTGCGGGGGGATCGTGGAGGGCAGGGAGGGCACAGCTGGAGCCCAACCCAGGACTCCCCACCAACCTGCCAGGTGGCCTCTGAGTCTGCCCTGTTCTCCCATGCAGCACAGGCAGGCAGAGGCAGAGGGTGAGGGCTGGGAGTACGCCTCGCTCTTTGGCTGGAAGTTCCACCTGGAGCACCGCAAGACAGACGCCTTTCGCCGCCGCCGCTGGCGCCGCCGCATGGAGCCACTGGAGAAGACGGGGCCTGCAGCTGTGTTTGCCCTCGAGGGGGCCCTGGTACGTGACAGTGGTCATCTTGGGTTGGTGGGGTGCAGCGTGGTCTCCCAGGGCTGTTCAGGGCTGACGCAGGAGAGGTGCAGAGGACCCCGGGACAGGACTTTGGCTTCAGTCCTCTGAGGTTGCGTGTGGGGAAGGTGGACACCAGTCTGGGTGTCCTCCTAAAATAAAATAGCTCATTTCTTGGCACCAGAAGACCCACTGCTTTTTTGGTAATTGAGAAGGGACCAGGGGAGAGGGCCCCAGCCTTTTGATGGTCTGACCTGTGACGGGGGCCAAGGGATCTGGCTCTTCTTGAAGAGGCTGGCTGGCCTGGGGTTGGGTCTGGGAGGCTTTGGCCTGGTCCAAGGGAGTAGCCTGAGAGGTCTAGTGACCCTGAATGTCCTTGGTTGGACATGAGTCCTCCTGAGAGGACGCTATCTTGTGCGCATCCTCGGGAATTTTGGGGAGAGATGTGCCTCAGAGACCAAACCCCAGGCTGGCTGTGCTGTCTCAGAGAGTACTTCCCAGAGCCAGTGGAATGGGCGTCAGGTCAAGGTTATCCAGGGTCAGGATGATGTGTTCTGCACCAGAGATGAGCAGACCCTTCCTGGACAGTCTGAGTGGGGACATTCAGGGCCAGGAGACAGCCTGTCCCCCACTCTGTTGGTTTGGAGACTCCGTCCAAGCATTGGGAGTGAGATGCCTAGGAGGAGACACCTTCTCTGAAATCCAGGTAGGACTGCCTGTCCCCTGAGGGGGCTTTGGGCTGTGACACAGGGGAGCAGGTCCCACCAGCTTCACTGGCTGATGGAATCTGAGTGTGTCCATGTGAGCCAGCTGTGTGTGCGTGCGCGTGCGTGCGTGCGTGCGTGCGCGTGCGTCCATATGAGCATTTCGTCTGGGTGTGGAGCAGTGTGTCCTAGCCCTCAGCCAGGGAGTACAGTGGGGCAGGCCTCTGACCCGATGGGATGGCTACAGAGAAGGGAGTTGAGGCTGGCAGTGGCTCCGAGGGGTAGTGGGCAGAGCCTGGAGGTTCCATCACTCCCAGGGGTGCCAGTGTGGGAGAGGAAACCCTCCGGGGCCCAGATGATGTCAGAGGCTCTGGAGGGAGCCCCTCCTGGGTCTTGGGGGCCAAGCGGTCAGGAGGCTGGAAGGAGACGGCAGAGCTCTGGGCTCTCTGGGGCCCTGAGCTGGTGCTCAGGTGGGAGTTGGAACTGCCACCCAGGCTGGAGCAGCTGCAGCCGGGAGTCTCCTTGTCCTGTCAGAAGGGGCCTAGCTTGGGCACAGGGCAGTGCCTGGGGGAGGTTGTGTGGTTCCAGCTGAGGAGTGGGGAATAAAGACCTCAGCAGGCCTCAGAGGCAGGGCCAGGTCTGAGGGTGCTTGCCCTCTAAGGAGCCAGGACTCGTTTTCATCCGACGGAAACACAACCAAAGTGGGCTGAAGAGAGAAAAAGAGCTTAAGAGCTCAGATTGCTGGGAATCTGATTCACCGAGGTGAATCAGGCATTAGGCCTGGCAGGAACTAGGGGCTCACACAGTGTCCCCGACTCGCTCCTCTGTCTTGGCCCCGTTCTCACACTGGCTCTTTCCATGTCGTTGGCAAAGATGGTGCCTGTGACAGAGGCTGAGGCCACCTTTACAGCCAGCACAGCCCGGCGGGCATCCTGTTTCCTCACAGCTGGAGACCCCGGAGTGGAGAGTTGCACTTTCTCAGTAGTGCCAGTACTGCCTCCTGTGCGATTGACTGGCTCTGCTTGGCCCTGTGCCCACACCAGCCCCTGAGCCTGAGGGCGAGGAACGGAATGTTCTCAATGACCGTCCTGGGTCACGCCCCTTTTCTGTGGTTGACAGCCCCACAGGCTGGGGAGAAGAGCATCTGAAAAGGAAAAAACCCCAAATGGTGGTGGACCCAGAGCTATAGATGACGACCACAGGACTCTTCTCTTTTTTTTTTTTTTATTTGCGGTACGCGGGCCTCTCACTGTTGTGGCTTCTCCCGTTGTGGAGCACAGGACACGCAGGCTCAGCAGCCATGGCTCACGGGCCCAGCTGCTCCGCGGCATGTGGGATCTTCCCGGACCGGGGCACGAACCCGTGTCCCCTGCATCGGCAGGCGGACTCTCTACCACTGAGCCACCAGGGAAGCCCAGGACTCTTCTCTTGAATGAGCAGTAGGAGCAAGTGTGGGTTGTTGAGTGGAGGAGGAGTGCTCTGGTCAGAGCTGGGTTTTAGGGCCATCAATCAAGTAGCCGTGGAGGATGGCTGGGGCCGGAGAGCCTCCCATCAGGAGACCATCAGGAGGCTTGGTTAGAGATCTGGGAAGATGTGACCATCTGGGGTGGGGGCCAAGGGACCGAAGTGGAGGGAGGTGGAGTAGCAGGGCTTGGGGAGGGAAGGGTCCAGTGGGCATCAGACGCTCTGCTGGGTGGACGGTAGGGCCGCTGCCATCGTCAGGCCACGGGGCGCGGTGGGCCTGGGGCTGCGATGAGTTCACGGTTGGCACTGGCAAGCGTGACACACATGGTGAAGTGCTGTATGAGGAAGATGGACCTGGAGGCTGCCTGCCAGGTGGCCCAGGGCAGGGAGGCTGGGGGCGTGGGAGCTGAGCATCAGCTGTGAGGCGAGGGGGCTGAGAGGAGAGAGGGCACAAGGCCGGAGGTGCCCAGAAACCCGTGGATGGAAGCGTGGATGGCTCTGGGGCTGGTCAGGATCTAGGGGAAGAAGACGAGCAAGGCTGGCGGACCCACTGCCAAGCTTTCATGGCTCAGCGACCGGGAGAATGAAGAGGGCCGTTTCCCAGAACACAGAAACCGGGCCGTTCATTCTTTACGTGGGAGAAAAATGTCATGAGGGAGCATTGAAATCAAACGTCAAGTGGGAAAGTGAATGATTGTGATGCAGTTGGGACTCGCCTGTGAAATGTGGAAGAAACCGAAGTCGTGAAGCCCAGAGTCCTGAGGGCGCTTTGCTGACATAGGGAGCCGGAGGTAGACAGTGGTTATAGAACGGCTGGATCCACGAACCTGGGGTTGGACAGTCTTTAGGTGTGACCAGCGCTTGGACAGGACCACAGGCCCATTGGACAGAAACTGTCTGGACCACTCTACTTGAGCAAATGAGCCCCCATCAGCACGTGTGCTCACACACACACACACACACACACACATGCACGCACACGCACGCACACACACACACTCTCCCCTTCCACGGTCACCTTTACATGCTTCCTGCCAGGACCGAGGATGGCCTGGGTTCCCATCCCTAAGTCTGCTGTCCTTCATCCAGGGATGTACTGATGCTCCAGCAAGGCACTGGGGCTAGAGTCCACCCTGCATCATGGGGGCAGATGGTTGGGTTTTCTGGGTGCCAGGACCAATCTATTGTTCTGGGTACTGGCCTTTGCCCGCTGGTCACTGATGCCTGCCGATTCACTTGGCGGGAGTGTGGTGGGGTGGGTGAGGCTTCTGAATGGCACTGGTTTGGTTTGAATTCTGCTTCCTCTGCTTCAGCTGTGGATAGGTCACTTGTCCCTTTAGTGACTCTGTTACTTATGAATGTCACTACATGTATGGGTCCTCGTAAGGATTAAGGACATAACCCAAGTACAGAGGTGCTTCTCAGTTTTAATGAACATAAGACCCATCTGAGGATCTTGTTAAAACGTATGCTCTTGATCTGCTGTCTGGGTGGGGCCCGAGAGTCTCCATTTCTAACAGCCCATGCTGCTGGTCCAAGGACCATCTTTGAGTAACAAGGATGTCGGGTGCACAGTGCATCCCGAAGATGAGGGAGGCAGTCCCATCGGCCACTACCGGGGTGCCTCTCTGAGGGAGGCAGGGTGTCTGTTCCTGACTGGAGGTGTGTCACCAGGGCCCTAGAGAGCGAGGCAGGGGCAGGTGACATGTTCTCCCTGCTCCTTGTGGGGAGAAAGTGATCTTTTCTTCCAATGATCCTCCACCTGATAGTGGAGGCCTGGCTCATGGGAAACCCCTGTCTGATTAGGAAGAGGGATATTCACGTGTGAATGCAAATAAACCCAACAGAAGCTGCATCTCCGAAGTGCTGAAGGGCAGACTAAGGGTCATTCCAGAGTGACAGTGCCTAATGAGGGTGGCTTCTCGGAGGAGGACCTGGGGAGGCAGAGCTTGGAGGAGTCCAGGACTGTGGGTGGTGGCCAGGTGGGCTTTCTGGTAATCTGACAGTTCTGGATGTCTGGGTGCAAGGGCCAGGCCTGTGGCGCCCCCTTGCCTCCTACTGCCCGTCCCCTGGCCCATGCGTCCACCAGCAAGCTGGGCCTCACTTGCCAGCTCCCCTCCTGAAGATGTCTCACTGCAAGGCAGGCCCAGTCTGCTCATTAGCACGGGCAGCCTTTCCCTGAAACCTTCTGCCGGGGCCAAGCCTGGCTCCCTCTGCGGAGCGGGAGGCCCTGGCTCTGTCTGCTAATCGTCTGCTGTCTCCATCCCGAGCATTATTTTATTTTCGTATTATTCTTTTTCCAGCTAATATCCTGGCATTCCCAAAGACACCGGGTTTCATAATCTTCCTGGCGTTCCCAGGGAGCTGGGAAGTGGAGCACAAAGCTGCTATTATAGCGTGTTCCATCCAGCCTCCCTCTCTGCCCCACACCCCTCGCTGCCGCCGCCACCGCCACCGCCGGCGTCCACCCAGTCACCCCCTCCTGACGCCACCAGACTCTCTGAGAACGCTGGTGACGGCTGCCGGGGATGAGCTCACAGAATCCATCCTGTGGCCCTTGCCCTGGGCCTGCCCTCCACGCGCGAGGATTTTTCCAGAGCCCTGTCTTTGCGCTTGGCCCGGAGTGTCTGGAAGGGTTTTCTGAGATGCCTGAGCCCGGGCAGGGAGAAGAGGAGATGGAGACTCGGCCGCATGTGCTCCTAGTCTTGGAGATTTTTAGAGCTGGAAGGAACTTTCATGTTCGGAAGCACTCTCCACCTGGCTTTGGTGCTACTTGAAATTGGATGCAGAGTTGTGGGTGTGCATGTGTGATCTGTGTGTGCA